ATCGAAATTTTGCAACAGCAGGTCATGCTCCTGCCACAGCAATCGGAGTTCAGAGATCTTGTGCAGCTATCAACACGTCGCGCATCTCCACCCTGAACCCGGAACCGGTCTTCGATGAGCTGCCGAATGCAGGGGTGCTCCTTAGTCGCAAGACGTCACGTTCACCTTTTGCCGTGGTGCATCATCAGATATACCAAAGAGAACTTTCGGGGCTGTTCCCCATATGACCAAGATCGACCAAGATGCCAGTAGCTTCAAGGACTTCATGCGGCAGCTGGGCATACCTCAAGGGGACCCCGGACATTTGCAAGGTTCCCAAGGTTTCCAGCATCCCTGCATTTCAGCGAAGCGCTGCCAAGCAGCCCCGCACAGCAGCAGAAAGTGCAGCGTGCTCATACCTTGGTCCGAACCCACACGAATCTAGAAGTTTTTGGATAGGCCTGAACAAACGCATTGGCATTGTCAGTTCCTCGTCGTGCGGTGCCAGGCTGCATCGAGTCGCCGACGCACACTATGTTCGGCCTTCCACAGGATGGTATAGCATCAGCATGCACAACAGTACCAAAGATGTACTAAAGCTTCGAGCGCAGGCCTATGAAGACTGGAAGGACCGCAACAGAGGCCAGAGAAAACTTGCAAGGCAACGAGCATGTCATCGGGTATCATCAGGTCGCACACTGGCCTAAACGGGTCTACCACTTCCGGAACCAGACCTCCACCTCCGAATGAAAAACGGTTCGCGTGCGGGCGACTCCATGCGCTTTCACTTTCTTTATACACTGACTTTTGTGTGCTGCTCCAGATATGACCGAAGGTATTTCATGGTTACAAATTAAAGCTTTCCTTTCGAAGAGCCTGCTTAGAACGATGGCTTCAAAACATGGCAAGCAGCGGCTACACGCGGCACCGCTTCAAGATCCTGCGCATTGACCGGACGGTCCCGAACATTCGCCGGGTCTGGCTGGCAAAACTTCATGCCTGCTGTCTTCCATCTCGTCACTGGCGGCGACGATCACATCCTGTCCACATAGACGTGCGTGAGCCCGCTTCGGAAAACCTACCTACTCAGCATACTTGCCCGTGGCATTTCAACAGATCTGGCCCAATGCTCTGCTATGCTCTGCCTCCTCGACATTCCTAGCCCTAGCCTACCGAAATGCAGCCGCAGCGGCTGCAAAGGCTCTCCGCTTCCAAGCCGTAGGGGAAGCATCTCCGAGGCTCTCCTTGGCCACTGACATCTGGCTCATGCTCGCTGTGTCACATCACGCTGTGTCAGATGATGCTTTCGGGCTTCATCTGTTCATTTAATTCGCTCCTGCTCTGTACTTACTTTGATCTTCCTCCGACACAGCCAAAGGAGAAGGCGGACCCCCTCTCCCCGCATGCGCAAGCGCCCTGGTCTCTGGTCCCCATACTGCGAGCTGGTGAAAGAAAACGGTCTGGCTGGCGAGGGTCGTCCCCGTGCTGTAAAAAGAATCCACTTACTTGGATCCCTCCCGCTCCTCACACCACCTGGACCTCCCGTACAACAATCGGAACAACGCAACTGCCTGTGTCTTTGGCTCGTCGGTTGCCCCTTCCGGATTCGCTTCATGCCTCACCTGACCTCTGTCCGTCCCGCATCAATTCGAACAAAAGCCACATCCTTCTGTTCAGATTGGAGGAGCATTGCGACTTTTGATATTTCGAGATGCTTTTGCGAGCACTATGTTATTGGCGCACACCTTAAGGATCTGGCTGATGGCCGCACTCGACCTTTTGTGCTGTACAAGAAGCCCTATGCACAGCCGGTATGGTCTAAACAGGGTCAGATCTGCTGCGCAAAGCGCCTGAGGACGTCCCGTCTTGGTTGATGGCCGAGCAGCATAAGTGGAACGGGCAGAAACAATATCTAATTCATCCAGGAGCGGGCGCAAACCTCGGTAGATCAGGTCAGCAGCACAACATCCCTGTAATGACAGAAACGTCAAACTCATGCGGCATCCGCCACTTATATACATATGCATATACATACACATATACACATACATAACATATATGTACACCATATGCATATACATACATATACATAGACATACATAGACATACATGTACATATAACTGTACATATACATATACATATATACATATACATATACATATACACATACATATACATATACATATACATATAGAGACATATACATATACATCTACATATACATATACATATACATATACATATACATACACATATACATACACATATACATATACATATACATATACAGTATACAGTATACAGTATACAGTATACAATATACAGTATACAGTATACAGTATACAGTATACAATATACAATATACAATATACATATACATACATTCGTAATATACTTATAACTATAGAACTAAACCCTAAACTGGCCCTGAACCCTAAACCGTATCCTCGTGGGTGCCTTCACAGCTCCATTAATCTGCCGACTGGTAGCCTGGAAGGAAAGCTGCACAGCTTGTCTCCACCCATCCCTCCAACGCATTCGTCACAATAACGACCCTGCCATACGCCATGGCCTGGGCCGCCACAGACGGGAAGGCAATGCAATTCCCAGAAGATAACCGAGCTCAAGGTGGCTCCGCGCCATCTTGTTATGCTCTGGCCGCTCGCAGTCACTCTGCATGCGATGCCGATGCTGCGGTATTAAGTTCCAGGCCGTCAGTAAAGTCTGTTCCTGCCAGAAGAAAAGGATGCAGGGAACATGACACGATGAAAGAGCGCCGTCGTTGCAGCCACGCCGCAACTTTGACCTCCAGCTCTTGTAGCAAGACCTGCTGCTCTCGAGTCAAGCTGACTTCCTTGGTCACTGCCGGATTCAAGCAAAAGCCCCATGGCCAAGGCAAGCCCCCCAGGCCCCAGCCCCTCGCACTTTAGGCAGAGTGGCATCGACGGAATCTAAACCACCATCCTCGTTCAACCAACCCTGGCAGAGTCTCTACCGGTGATGCGACTTGTGCACACATTCGACATCCTTGCTGCAACTGCTATGACGTCTTCAAATGGCATGCCGCAAGAAGTCACAAAAACGAAAATGCGATACACGCTGGCTTCATGATATCCTTCTTCACGCCATGATCCGATGTCATGGCAACTGCAATATGTCTCAAGTCCTGTACGATAGCCAGCTTTGTGAATCCAGGCCTGCCGAGAAATCCAGCTGGTTGGAAGCAGCGTGTCATCCCAGTCGAAGAACCTGCGCAACTTTTGAGCACAGCATAGTAGAGAAATGCCTGGCAGTTGCAGCTGGAGACGAGCGTTGACCGTCGAAGGTTGCCGGGAGATGTAGCTGGTGAGTTTGCTGCATCAAGCAAAGCGGTACTGGGCGATAGATTCCATGTCCCACATTCTCAGAATTCATGGCAATGGCATCGTCTCAGCCTTCCGACCCATCAAAGCACCCAGCCTGAGACCTGGAAACTGACCTGCTCCAGTATGGAAGCCGAGAGACAGAAGGGCTTCGGGAGCATCGAAGCTTTTTGGACTCTCGCCCGAAACATCGCTGCAGTCCTTGCATACGTCACTCAGCTCGCTGCAGCAACACTGTATGTGTTTTGTTGCAGAAAAAACGCCTCCACGTCCCAGTTTCCGTCAACTCAACTTTGACTTGCAAAGGGCATTGAATTCGCTGGCAGGCTGCGCCTTGCCTCTAAGTCAGTCCAAGGCTCTGTGCTCAAGCACAATTCTGAGTTCTCTGAAATGGTTTCCAGACAAGAATTGAACTTGAGATCTCCTCAGAAGGCAATGGATGCTCACAGGGTTTCCGTCCACAGTCTCTCACATGCTGGTGCTTGCTGCATGGTCTGAGTCACAGACTCATCGCATCTGCATAGGCAAGGGACGCCATTGCTACAATCTAATCTGGCGCTGGTGCCCGGTGTTGAAACGCAAAGAGACATTGTGCAGGGAGTGAGACGTTAGAGACGTTGATGCGGGAGCTGGGGGTTGAGGGGTAAAGCTGAATCGAGGGGCGAAGCGCCGGTTAGGACCTACGCAAAATGCAAAACGGCTACGGCATTGTGGCTCTCCTGGTGTAGGGAACTCGCTGCCTTCCGCGGTGTGTACCTCTTGATCTTTGTCCGATGTTACGGCCGTGAAGTCCTGAAACGGCAACGTGCCTTCCCCAATCCGCTGTAGAAGGGATTGGAGGCTGCATCCACATAGAGCAAATTCACTTGCCTGGCGCGGAAGCAACCTCAAGCCTCAAGGGGCCTCAAGAGGCCTCGAGGAGCCCAGGCCTCAACATTGACCGGAGGATCGCTTCCTCATCTCGGCGCTGTCGGCATGCCTGAAATGGCACAATGTGCTGTCGATATGAGATGATACACCTTCACATATGTATCATCCTACCAATCGAAATCGGTGCACCAGCGATGCACCGGGCATCGACAAGAGGAGTAGAATGCCCCCGTAGAAGTAAACATCGAAAGATTGTCAGGCATTTACGTAGATCACCGAGGGCCCAGCTCCATCGCGAACGATAGCAAGTACCTAAGAGAAAAGGACAAGAGCCTACCAAAGACCGGATGGCCTGCAGACTGCAGCAATAAGCAAGTGCAAGCAAGTTATGACCGTTCCCGGGAAGCCGGCTTTGACGCGTGTCGCAGCAACATATCCATAGATGTTGCAGTCCTCACCAGGAAGGCATCGTGGTAACTCAACATCCAAATGAACAGAAAACGCCCATGAAAGACCCAACGGCGCCACGGCTATCCTGGCACGGTAAAACAACATGCAGCCACGAATCCACGAACATGAGAGGTGCAGGTGGCCAGCGCGGCAAGCTCAGGAGATTCAAGTCCCCCCCCCCATACGAGATGAAATGCCGACCCTCCCGCAATATTGGCATTAATGGATTTCTTTGAGTGGCCGTACTTGCGATGCATCATGAGGTTCTGGCAAGGGATTATGTAGTTGGGGCATGGGATTCGGAAGAATGGTGACTGGAGCTCGGCTCGATGACAAGCCTACAGCCTCATGGTGTCAGAGTGTGAGGACGACGAGGAGTGTGTATCGTGGATTGCTGGCTGTGCGCTGTCCTGGGCGTCGAAAAGCGCCGGGGAGAGAAGGCCCAGATAAGGATCGGAGCCCTTCGCCTGGCTCAGAGCAACGGGCAAGGGTTGAGCACAGAGAAGAAAGAGATGAGAACAAGATGAGCGCAGTCGGAGAGCTGATCCCTCTGAGCTGCGACATGCCCTGGAAGCGCCTCACCCTTCAACAATGCTTGCGCCACGTTTTGCATCTGCACCTCAGTCAGAAAGAATAAGGCCCATGCAAGGCTCACTGAAGGAAGCGGCGGCGGTCAGCTGAATCCACAACACAGGGCATGCTCACACCTAAGTGCTGACGTCCGCAGTCCGACCCGAGCGGTTTTTCGTTGGGGAATCGGACCGAGGAGCCTCCACCTGGTCCAGCGCGGCGTGCAGCAGGAGCTGAAGCCTTCAAAGCCAATGCAAAGTCTCAAGCCGGAAAACAACCACAAAGTAGCCAAGTCTCAACCCTCGCGGAGAGTCTGCGCTTGGCTCAGGCGCCAGCTCAAGATCATCAGCATCGGGTGGAACGGCCTGAACATGTCCCGGAGTGAAACCAGCCAGAGTCTGCGAAGGAACCGTAGCTTCCAGGCCGAACCGCCTTAAGACCTGTTTGCCTATCCAAGACGTAACGTACTGTACTGGGTGGTGTTCGGAACCTCGGAATGCCACTGCACCTTCCGCCTGAGTCCAAGACCATTTTCCTCCGGAAGCTGCGGAAGAACAGGAGGCTTCCGTCCCTGCCTCAGAGTCGGACCGAGGCTGGTGCTCTTGTCTTGCTGCCTCCGTTCATCTTCCGAACTTGTGGTGTCGTGAACTTGACGAGCCCTGCACCCACAATGGCGACGCAAAGTACCGGTGGCTCCTGCGGCAGATAGGAAAACAGGCTTCTTGTGGGACTGCTCTGCTTTGCACGAGCTCATGCGTGGCGTCACGAAACTTAACTGCCTCTGGGGGGGAGGGGGCTGGCGCCATTGCAAGGCTAGCACTGCCAGAGCAACGCACAGTGCACGTGCTGAAAAGTCGCGGTAGCTTAGCTTGTGTGCTCAGGTCCTCACACAGTAACAAGATGACTACCTTGGTGAACTTGACTTGTGTCTGCTGCATTGCGTGAAGGACCAAGTTTGTACCAGGCAATGCATATCAATGATTGATTCGAAGGAAAGCTGAAACTAGGTCGCTGATGCTACTTTTCGGCGTCGCCGGCTGGAGCAAAAGCCGCGAGAAGTGCGCCTGGCTTCCTTGCGCTGACTCTCATCGCCGGGATTCTCTCAAAGCCATCGACGAAGCCCTAGATCAACTTAACAGCTCAACCGTCGAAAACTTCGGCTGCTGTCAACCTCGCTTCCCAAAGCATCCGCCAGGATTGAAGCACGTCTTGCTTTTTTGATGGAAGCTAGAAGTATTGCAGGCCGAGGGCTTTGCGCACCTGGCAGTACTGCAGATCAAGATTCAAACCAGGCATAAAGGGCATGTTTCCAGTGCAGGGACATGCGCCAGGACATTGAGATGGTCAAGACAGATGCTCTGGCACTTGTTCCAGGATGTACGAAATCCCTTCATCCACCTGCTCCAGGAGCGGAAACGTCAGGATGGCATGCGGTCCTGTCCAGCAGACAAGCCGCTCCAACCCTCGCAGTACTATTCCACAAAGCAAGCTGCCTAGGCGGCAGTATGCCGGCCACCAGCCGCGGAAGAGACTCGCAGGCCCCTGACAGAGGCATGGGAAAGGCGAACAGAGCAAGCAGGCGTGTAGAAGTTATGCAGAGCATCCCGTCACCTCGGACTGTATGATTGACATCAAGGCATCCGGGAAGCCCCGCGGGAAGCGTGTTCCTGCAGATCAAATGTGGCCTTAAATATCGTGCATGTTCGCAAATACAGAGCACAAATTTAGGCCCACTGCCATCATCTGCCATGACACAGCTCTTGAGCGTGTCGAAGGGCGCGGCCACAGTTGTGGCCACTACTCCTCCCATGTTGCTACACCGTTCGAAACCTGCCCATCATCACACGACGCAGCAACGTCAGCAACATGTCAGCCGCCCTTCCTGTGATCAGGGATGTCGCGACATGCAGGGAAAATGGCTCGCGCCGGCCATCACGAGCAGCACTCTCGACGCCTGACCCATACAAGGCATACTGAAAGTGCCACGTGCAGCTAAAGAAGCGCCTGCCCCCATAAGTTATAAGTCAACATCTCACCAACCAAGGCTCGTCCAGAAACTACTTTCGTCAACCTGCGGCCAGACAAAGCCCATCTGCACTCACTATCTTCAACTCTCCGACATGATACAAGCTTCACTTCGAGCACTTAAGCTTGGGAGCAGCAGATACGGACTGGAATGCTGAAAACACTGACATCCCACACGAAATCCCACATCCCGGCACAAGGCCGTGCTAGCCGGAATTACACTCTCGACCTGAAGCTGAACCACATTTAACCTACCGTAGACACCGTGTGACCGTGTCCTTTCCTGAGTCTTTGAATCCACTGGCAGCACACAAGAGCTGCCCTGAGAACCCGAGAGTCACAGAGGCCCGAAGTGCAAGGCTCGACCCAGCTCCCAGGCTTCAACCCTTCTGAGTCTGCAATGAAAAAATCGCAAGCAGTGTGCCTGGCCAGTGCCTGCGAAGCGCTGTCTTGGTTTGGTCATAGGTCGTTACCTGGTGGCAGCACCAAGTGTACAGACGCGCACCACCTACACTACTGATGAAACAAAGCCAACTCTGCCCTTTCCTGACGACGGTCTGGGTGTCTTTGCCGTGCGACTCAACTAGTTTGGTTAAAAATGTCCATGAAAGACGACACGCAAGCTCTCCGAGTTCCTAGTTATGGAGTTATGGATCATTCAGTTCAATGACCCCGCGATCACAACATGCTGACGGACGTGAATGGTCGGGTGGATCTTGGGGCTGTGAGACGAGAATGCTACGTGCATCTAGGCCACACCCCTGTTCCAACCCTCCACATTGCGCCGAACTCCTGCAAGGACCCGTTAAGACTTCCGAGCTTGCGCTGATACCTTGAAGCTGATACCTTGAAGCTTTCCGAGATCCGGAGACAGAGATCCACGAGTCCCAAACAGGAAACTTCAAGCTCCAAACCGGCACCAACAGCAGAGGCGCAGTGCGCCTCTCCGATGGCGATGGCGGCACCTCGCGGTGCCGAGGCACTGACGCCCCTGACCAAGAGGCCTCGGCACCAGGGGCCCTGAGCCCAAACGTGCCTCGTGGAGAACTACGTCTAAAACCTCCGAACCTACAGACCTTCCAGTGCCGGAGCAGGGCCGCTACCCTCTACCCCCTCCCCGTTATCCTTGGTCGTAGGCCTCGCACAAAGCCTTCATTCCGGGCAATCTCCGTGGCAGCAGAAAAGAATCCTGACAACGCGATCCGTGATCAATGTTTCAACGCTGGGAGTAGTGAAGGAGGATATGTAAGTGGAATCTGCTTTTGCTTTGCTGAGCCTGGATAGCGGCCAGGCTCTGCAAACAGTCGCACCTGGCATTGTAGTTGGACTGAACCGATGCGCCACCCAAATGTATCTTCGTTTGTTACTAGTAGTACGCATGCAGCCTTCACGACATCCGGGCCGTTCGCGCAAAGGGAGCCACCCAGACCTGTGGCGGCTGCGGCCGCTACTCGATGACCTGGGAGACCGGTCCGAGCATGTAGCTCTCAGCGAACACAGGTCTCGAGCTCTCCCGGAGCAGATACAAAACTCAATGTAATCACACTTTAAATTATCTCTAAGTGGTAGCTTTTGGACTGCAAAACTTGAGGAGTGGACCTAAGTGAGGCTCGGAGTCACGAGGCGAGACCTCGCCGCGGCTTCAACTCGCTTTGTGTGGAGCCTGAGCCTCTGAGCCTCTGTTGTCACTCTGTTTTCTGTCTCAGTGCCAGGCGAGATCTCGCGCAAGCGGATACAGACCCTTTGTGCACCCGCTGTACAGCCTCAAGACGAGAAGGCAGCTCAGGCCCGAAGGCCCAAGAGGCCCAAGGCAAAAAGAAAGGCCCCCACAGCTCTCGAAGGAGGGAGGCAGTCAAGCCAGGCCTAGCCGAGCCATCAGGGTCGTGAAGCGACTTCGACCACCCAGAAAGGTAAATGTCCGAAGTGAAGCACCTTCTGACCCCCCGAGTGACCTCCAAAGGCCTTGCCAGGCACCATGCTGTCGATAAGCAGCACGGACCTGTTGAGCTTCAAGGATGTTTACCTGCCTCTCGCAACTCGTTGTATCCGATTTCAAGAAGCTCAAGGCCAGCAGCCCAACTTGCGATGTGCACAGCATTCAACCCTCCAGGCCCTGCGACATCCCGCGACCCTGTCTTGTAGCGTAGGAAAGCGAGCAAACAAATGTTTGAATGGCAACAAGCCTCCTGCAACGCTGTTCGCGGAATGCCAACCTGTCTTCGAGTCTTTACCTGAGTCGTAGCACCCATGAACTGACTGCCAAAGCGGGGTGTGCTGGCAATCTCGGGCAGAAGCAAACCATCCCAGCAATGCTGTCAGGATAGAGAGCCAATGCCTACTTAGGGGTGACGCGTAGATACTTCACTATCGTTCACACCCAAGCTTCAGGCCACGTCGATTGGATTTAGCACTGCCGACACTGCCGCTGTGGAGACGCCGCCAGCCACGATATCGCGCACGACCTACTGGACAAGATGTCTTTTCACCAAAGCTGCAGAAAGAGCCCGTACAAGTCACAGTCAATCAGAGCGGCATTTGGCCGCAGCCTTTGATTGCGGTGTTGGGCTGGCAGTCTGTGCAGTTGTACAGCCGGGCCGGCGACAGATGCAGCATTTCAGAGTGTTTGGAAAACGTGGTCTCGGAGGATCTTTGAGGTTGCCTTATTGGCCAGAGGACGTGTTTCCACATTGCAAAAGCAGTACTTGTAATCATTGCAGAAGTTTGCAAGCAGTCACTGGTCACCGATCTGGCTGCGCGTGCTGAATGCTGACAGTCTTTGTCAACATAACGCGACAGGCGCGTGGCCTGTTTTCGACAGCATTTGCTACGGTCTTGGCCATGTAGCAAGCGCAGTGCTCGCACAGCGCAGCTACAAGCAAAGAGGGAGTTTTATGTACAGCGGGGAGGTTGGAACAACCCCTCCCGGGTCCGGAAAGCCCTTCAGCCACTGCTTCCGGCTACGACTCAGACTGCAAGCTGCCGGGTGCCCAGTAGTCCCGATACCTGTCACCATCTGTCGCAGGTCGCAACTGGAAACTCTGAAGCAGTCCAGCCAATTCGCTGGGGTGCAGATGCAGACAAATGCAAGGCGCACTCTTCCAGCCAAGCAAAGAGTGTTTTCTGAACCTCGTGAAAGAGCCTCAGCAGCGCAGTTTGTTCATCGTCTACACGGTGTTCTGCAGCTTTCTCGGTCGTGATGCCAAAGGCCGAACGTATGCTTGTGGCTCGCGAATCGCAGACTTGTCGCAGGTAGGTTATCATTGCAAGATATTGCAAGCTAACGTCCAAAGGGGCACATCCGTGATCTTTTCTCCAATGCAAATATGCCTGAGAAGTGTTATAGAGATTTGTCAACCTCTCGCGACCCTCCCCCGGAAGCACCTCTCCCGGAGCTCTTCGCACCTGGGGATTTCAGTCCGGTTGGGGGGGGACGGAAAAAGGGAGCGTCGCGAAGCCGAGCGGCAGCTGCTCGAGCTGTTTGAACTTCGGTTCCTCCGCATGGTCCCCTTTGTAGCGCCTGAGACCGCTCAGACCCCCACTCTAAAAAGCAGGGCTGGGCTGATGCTCTGGGATTCTCGTGGGGACCCACGCCCAGGCCATGCTCGCAGCTTGCAGACCAAGCAAAGGAAAAGAAAATGCTCTGTCATCAAGGTTTTGCCAACGGGTGCAGCAAAGACAAGCTCAAAGACAGCACTTCTCAATCCTGTGGCCCCTGCCGTTTCACTTTGACAAGAAGTGGCCACCTGAGTCACCAGCTCCGAGTCACTAGCAGTCTGCAGGCCTCATAGGTTATCATAAGCCTCATGAGCATCAATTCTGAGAATCAACGACGTATCCGTGGGAAGCAAAGCAGCTACTGAGAGGTTAGGCATCGCTCTGAGGCAACTGCTGGCCGTCTGCGGGAATTTCCTCCGAGCTGAACTCCCTGGCCGTAACATCGGCTTTAAGATGGTCTTAAGTATTAAGCAGCAGAAGATACCGAAGACCCTTGAACGTTGCTGCCGGTTATCGGATCAGTGAGGCCTTATCTTCACGGTGCCGCCGATGACTCGGTTCTTGGCCACAGATGCCGGAGCCTTGCGAAGGCCGCCAAAGATGGCCGAAGTGGCTCTAAGTCAAACGGCTGCAGTCGCTTTAGAGATACCCACTCGAAGCAGTAGGCGACCCCTGCCCCTTCAACCGAAGATCGCAAGCCTTCTGCTCGTTGTCCAACGAGGCGACCTTTGCAGAGCTGCACAAGGGCAGGAACTGTTTCTATATTGAAATACAAGTACTTTGACACACATGGCAGCAACTTCGACCGTAATCTAAAATGCTTGAACATATTTCGCTCGGGAGCCTCAATCAACTCATCCGCGGTGCGGTAGGACCTCTGGCTGGAGGGAGCACCGAAGCTCGACAGCATGGTCTTAAACAAGCACTGAGAGCAATGTTTTTGGTTTACACCCAATTTGACAGCTCTGACACTCCCCGCTCGTGGGAAGCTTGGGAGAATGAAGAGGCAGTCAACATCTGACTACAGGATGGAGGCAGGCGAGGGTGGGGGTGAAAAAGAGCGGGGGGCATCGGAGTCCAAGAAGATCCGCTCAGGCTCTGGCTTGTCACCATCGACAGCCGCATGCACCTTCGACGAGTTGGCACGGATCTGGGAAGGTGCCACGGTGAATCTGGGAGAGTAGGGGCTCGACCTGACCCCTCCTTGTGACGAATGCAATGCCAAAGCGGCCTCCCAGTCCATTTTCAGGAAGTAGTCGAAGTAGTGCAGCGGCTGCTTCTGAAAAGAGTGAGCTTCAGGAGCAACAGCAAGTACTATCGCATCATCTGTGCTCATGCTTGCATCGCTGCAGATACAACCCGTGCCGAAACCCCGGTTTTTTGCGTATTACACACGTGCTCAAAGACGCTGCTGCTCGAGTGCCTGCCGATTGAGATTGATCACGGCAGCGTCGCCCTCCAACTTCCTCACATCCAGCACGTGCTGCAGCTCACATTCTTCGTCGCGACAGTCATGGGGTGGTACTGCGAGGACCCAAAGCCAAGTCGCAGAACGTCCGTGATGAGAGCCCGCAACGTGCATGTCTTCTCCGTGGGCTCCTGCAAGGCTCTGACCGGCTCGCACAAAGAAACTTGCGGTAACAGTTTGCTGCCGTTGATCCCCCCGCCCCCCATGCAGGCAAGGCTTTTGTGTGGATCCGGCTGCCCTATCCTAAATCAGCCCTACTGCCATTCCTTGCATGGCATGAAACATGGACCCACCGCAGTCGAAGAGCACTTTTGAACAGCAACCGATGTTCCAAGTCTTCTGCCAGCTGCTTTGAGCTGCTTGGAAGCGGTGAATGTTGCTGACACGGGGCTAAGACCAGCTGGCTTGCTGCAGGCAAACTCCTCAGTTTGGAGCCCCTTCCAGCAACTTGGGAGCTCTGTTCTTCTCTTGCCAGCTTCGCAGCTTCGACAGTGGAAGCAGTCACCACAGTGAGGTTAGGTGGTCCATCGTTGGAGCAAGTTCACTTGCAGACGGAAGTGGCATGTCGTGAGGAACGACGAGCCATGGCTCACTCAGCCTCTCCTACAATCTGGCCAAGGCTCCGTGCACCCAGCCGAGGTCTGCATGGGGCTCCTGTCAGGTAAAAGCTCGATACTGAGTCTCACAGCTCACGGATAGCAGACGAAACAGGCGAGGAACAACGACACCGGCGGTCTTCAGGGAATTAAGGCCATTTCTTGTCAATAGACTGCATCCGATACCCTTCCTTCTCCTCCTCGGGAACTGTGGCTGCTCGAGACATGCAGCCTATTAATCAATGAGTGAGTGAGTGAGTGAGTGAGTGGATGGCCTGGGGTGCACTCCGGCCGAACGGAAATGTTCCCTCCCGCCATCTCTTCCCCCCTCCGTTTTCGTCATCGGGGAGATCCGGCAAGAGTTCGACGCTCCGAGCCCCTCAATCCAAGCAGGGAAAGTGCCACCCGAACCTCCATGGGCCCGCCCCCCCAAGCTGCACAGCTTGGGTTGGATTTGGGCACTTGGCAAGACATCCCACTTCCCAGGAACAATAGCTCTTCCCCATGTGATCCCTCACACGGGTACGAAGCTGGGGGCACTGGCTCGGAGAAAGGGCTTGAGGTGCGGGGTGGCCGAACCAAACACGCACACACGCACCGGCAGCAAGACTAAGGGCCAGAAGGGGCGCCTATTAATTATTGATCAATGCAAAGGGTGCCGAGAAAGAAAATCAGCACAGATGTCGCGCAGAAACCCCTTGAAAGCCCTGATCAACACAGGCAGACAGGCAGGGGCACCGGTACCGTGCCACCGCGCTTGGAGCTGCGGCCACAGATGATGCACTCAGGCAGCTGCTCCTGGCAGAAATTGGGAGAGAAGGAAGGCTTCTTGGGTCATCCTCTCTCAGTGAAGCTGCTGCCAGCTATGTGCGGACTGTGAGTTCCTGGCCTGGCCCTCGAGATAGCACTGGGCCAGGCGTGGAGCCTCTGTGCGCGGCTCGGAGGTGGCTGTGCCATCCTGGCAAGCGCGACGGACTGTCACCGGACCAGCTTCTACCTCACGCCGTTTGGCGCATCGATGTTGCCTAGTCAGCTGCTTCCCCATGCCATGCATTCTGGATGTCAGCGTTGGGCGGTCGCTGGTTGGGACACCCTCGCTGGCGATGACTGGTCATGACACTTCCTTGGCCAACCAGTCACCTGCTGATCTGGATATCGGTGGTTCGGGCACTCATGAAACTGATGCAGAATGGATCTGCTGAACTGGCCTTCATCTGAGCCCTGACCGAACAACAAACATCAACAACAAACGCTACAATCTGCCGGCGCATCGTGGCGCATTCCGAGTGGTCAGAAACGCTTAGTAAACGGACAACATCGCCCATAGAGGAGGCCTCCGAAGCGCTGCGCTTCCGCGCGGAAGCCGCGGGCTCCGGCCGCCCCTGTCGGCAGGAGGGCTTGGAGGATGGGCAGAGCATAGGGGACAGTTTGACAGTTGGGCTTCGTGGTGCAAGGAAGTGCTACTCGGTTTGTGTTGAGCTCGACACGTGCGACGACCCTTCGATGTTTTTCAAACGTCTTCGGTACAGGCGCGAGGGAGGCATCGTGGCAAATTCTTTAGTTTCCACACATCCCCTGACTCAGGGTTCGGTCAAGTTGCTGACGAAGAAGCCGCTGCAGATGCGGACGCAGATGCGGATGCAGACACCACGGAGGAGGACGAGGCAGACCTGGTATCTGAAAGCAACCTCCTGTGGATGAAATGAGCCTGTTGCTGCCATGCTAGCATGCCTCACACGGCTCGGTGGTATAAAGACGACAAATGCACTACTACGTAGCGGCGGCCACCCACACCAATCCCAGTTGGATCAGACTCGCCACTGCAGAAGCTGCAGTCAGAGCACCCTTGCGGCACATCTCCTTCCAGCCAGGAGACGAGCTGCGAGGCGGCCCTGAGGGAAACTCTGACTCTTGGCACTTTTCGCATTCAAAACCCCCTTTGAGCCCCCACTGCCCAGGCGCGCCTCTCGATGTCTCCTGAGCTGGCACAAGCACGGGCGAGAAAATACACGACGACAAGAGAATGTGCCGGGCACGAAACAGCTCAACGATTTACTTCACCAACTGAGATTCCGGAGAAGCGAATCAAAGCCTCACGACGGAGGTCTGCAGGTACCGGCAGCAGCTCCTCGGACTTGGGACTCTGGAGTCAAAAGCTTGGTACTAGTACTATCCCACACACTCCCTCGCCTTCAAAACGCGCTCTTCGGGCCTGTGACTTAAGATCCAATCCAGCTGTCTTCACGCGTGCTTTCACGTAATTGTGCAGAGCGTCGCCCAGTTTCCGCACGGCAGTTTCCAGGGCCTCACGCACATCCAATCAAATAAAGAGGCGAAGGCGACGATGCGATCTGAAGCGATCTCCCTCTCCTTTGCCTGACAAAAAAACAGCTCGCGGCTGCATGAATGAGAGCCTGAGGTCAAAAAGGGTAGGTGCCCTTGGCGAGACTTCTTCGGCCTCCTCATCCAGCTCGGCTTTGGCACTGCCATTTGTCAGAGCCAAGGGCGCTGACTCCGAGCCTGGCGATGCGGGAAGTCAGTCTAAGGACCTTGCCGTGGTTCTGAAATCCCGGTCCTGGCACACCTGCTTCCTTGCCAGCCCAGGCTTTCAGGACCGACTTCCCGGCAGCCTCCTTTGTCGGGTCAGCGGCACAAGAAGAAACGTTGTCGGCGATGGTACAACCACGCGACAAAGAAGCGCTAGTTGGAGCACGGCGAGGAGAACTGAATACACTGGCAGGATGCCGGCTTCAAGGTTGACCCTCAGACCTGGAATGCTTCTGACAAGGGCGGGGTCCTCGGACTGCGACGAGAGCGTCGTCACCGCATCCACCAGCGCGGCGGACGGATGTGCAAGAGGGTACTTGCCTTGGCTTTGCAGAGTTAGTGGCGGTGTTAGTTATTGTAGTCGGCCACGGAATGACAAACCTCACCCACCCACGAGCCATGCGACCGAGGATCGCCGCACTGCCTTCAACGCAGCAGCAAACGAGAGCCCTGTCCAGAAGTTCACTGCGCTCCAGGGTGGGCGAGTATTTATGCATTATGCTAACCATTATTCTGCAGCACGGATCCACTTCACACAGGCACTTCGCAATATCCTATCAGTTGCCGGACTGAGCAGCTCTGGAAAGGAAGCTGCCTTTGTCTGCCATGATGTAGCCTGACACAGCCGGAGTCCAGAGGGGGGAAAGCGTCTGGGGGGGGGGCAGCCAATTGGACTGAGACTCCAACCCATGGCCAGAGCCGCTGGTCTGGATCGGCCGTGGGTGCCGTAGATCAGGCAGCGGCACCTAGAGCTCACCGGACTTCGGGGCAGGGGCTGCAACTCCAGCAGAGCAGGCAGAACGCCTTCACGCAGTGGACTGATGCTGCACAGACATTTCAGAGTCGTAAAGTTTGCTCCTGCCACCTCGCTTCGCCCATCTGAGTCGTGGACCCGTCAGCACGAGCTGAGCGGAGGAAGTGAAGCCTATGCGCGCCGCGAAACAGCCGAATACGACAGCTGCATGCGAAGAACTAATGAGTTCACAACTGTGCAGGCCTACCACTGCGGCACAAGCAGCAAATGCATCCAGTGGCCCGCAAGATCCTCCGGATGTTGGACGGACTGAGTATTGATTTTCGGTGACTCAGCGACTCACGCATGAGAGCATACAGCACCGGCATGACCTGCGGCTTCAATTCACGCTTCTACGTCTAAGCTCATTAGTCATACATGACAATACATGCGCTCTAAAGACCCTGCGCGGGCCACCACTGCTGTTGTCTTCAGATTCAACTGGAAAAGAAAACAAACACAAACACACACACAGAGGCGTAATGAGACAGATACATATACATCTACATGTACATATACACGTACATGTGAACATATATACGCATGTATGTACACACAGATACATGCATACATACATACATACATACATACATACATACATACATACATACACATACACATACACATATACATATACATATACATAAAAACTTGCTTACTTACATACACACATACATACACACGTTCATGCCTGATTGCATTGCATGATATGTATATATGCGCATATTGTACAGTATGGAGACCATCAAGCGACACCGGGAAGCAAATCCAAGATCCATCCGTTGCTCACGTCCCATACGCCGAGGATCCGATAGGCCAGCGCTGGCTGTCAGCGGCACCCGCAGCCGCCGCGAGGGCGCACTCCTGAGGCACAAATTCATGTGATAGAAGACGGTGAAGTTAACGCAATTCAAGACATCTTAGGAAGCAATTTCCGAGCAATTACGCGGGGACACCGGATCGGATCTACTGATGTCGGGAACACTGCACTTCCTACGATTCTACGGGTCTTTTAACAGGGAACTTCCCCAAGGAACCAGATCACCCTTTTCTGTTGACGGTAATCTGACTGACAAGGGCATCCCAGACAGGGCGACGGGTACATGGGGAAAGAATCACCAGTATCAATCCGCAGTTAAGGCATAAAACGTGTGCGTGTGTTTGCCAGAATGTCAGAGAGCGATGTGAGCTTGCTCTGGTTGCTACTGCATCAGTGTTGGGAGAACGACGCTGAGGACTAGGACGACCAGCGTTGCCGCCGCCGGCACCACCGCGTCACCACCAGCACTTCCACCACCTCCACCAACAACAACCACACCATCACTTCGGCACTGTTGGAGAGGAGTCGAATTGAACAACTTTCGGCTTCTCAGTTTGATAACTGACACTTCACCATAACATGTATCTACTGAGGCCAAAAGCAGAATGCAAGTTCCCAGGACGGTCGGACAAGTTGAAGTTACAAGAAAGGCCGCACCAAAAGAAGGCCAGCTACCGCAGCGAATCTGGGTGCCCGTGAATAAGGTTAATTACGGACATGTCAGAGAAGCAGCCAACCAGGGTGTTTGTGTGGGGCAGTGCTGCACAATAGACTGCAAACCGAGCAGTTCCCAAGACATGAATCGACCCCAGGGTCGGAGAGAAGGGCAGCGAGGCTGTGGCGTTCACCAGGCAGTCCTGAGCTCGCTACAGGGTTTTTGGGGTAACATCGAAAGGCGACCAACAAGCCTGCACTCTACACAAGATCCTACTCGATCATGAACCGACTCTTTAAGTGCGACTGTCTGACCACCTTGCCTTGCATGCCTGGCAGAAGCCAACTTTGCAGATGCATCAGAGCCCCGCACCCGCTTCGTTTTATGCGGCTTCTGTACAACCTTTACTGTCACAGACCTGCCTGCTCCTTCGGGCCGTCCAAGGCTCGAAAGCATTCCTTTGCTGACAGCACACGGCACCAACCGGCAGCAGCCACATGATGACATCAAGGAAAGCAGGTCTCCCAGCCATGCTTATGAACTTCTGATCTGCAAAGCTGCTCTGCGACTCCTTCCGCTGCATCTGCATTGCCAAGCCAGAGGAAGCCCTCAACCACCTGCAGGCGGACGCAGGGGGAAGTGATACAAGCTGAGACCTGGCCACAAAGGGCCTCTGCTGAAGCCGGAGGCAGCACAACCAAGGGAGGATCCAAGCCTTACAGAGAAGTCACTAACCTCTCTAACTCTAGCCGAGGGCCGCAGACGTGAATAAGATTGGATCAAGCTGCCTGGCTCTTTGAGCTCGCTTGCTGCCACCTCCTCGCAAATCTCACAAGTTACGGTGCCATTCAGAGTGCGTGATATCCTGACCACAGGATCAATGAGCACCTGGCAACGTCTCGACTGCTCCGGTTTCAATTCCCATTCTCCGTCTCCAAACGGGCTAAGGATGCAAGCACTGCGGAGCTCGGGGAAGCGCACCTGAGATTGGTCCGGTGCCGTGAGAGGCATGGAACAGCTCTTGAACGCCTTAAGTGGCTTCTTGCTGAAATCCTGGCTAGGTGCTGATCTTCGCTCGCACTGCTTCGGTACACAAAATCCAAGAATCTGCAAGCTGTGGCCCTGTGTGCTCAACCTGTGCAGCTGTGCATCGGTCGCCGTTTCTGGATTGCCTCCAATGTGAATCATGAACCATGTCATGTTCCGCATGGTGCTTTGATTTGCGCTCCACTCAACTGCAGAGCTGTAGGAGTCTTGGATCACTTGCTGCACCCTGTGCCCGTGACCTTCACTGCTTCGTCCGCAGTCCACTGTTGTCGGACCTGGGTGGCAGGCGCTTGAGACCGTTGTACCTCATTAAGCGGCTAGCAGCCGGGAAGTCTAAGAAGATATTATCATGAGCGAGTCTGGTGAAAGAAACGCCAAAATGCAGTCTGTTGCCGAAAGCCTGCGGCCTCAAGTGCAAGAAGGTGAGTTCAGGTTTCCAGACAAGCGTGCAAGGGCCTAGGATGGGTTTGGGATATTGTGTTTATGGATTTACCTTGCATCCAGGCGGCAAGAAGAGCTGCTATCACAGCTGATGCCTCCATGGAAATGCATTCAATCATCGGTTGAAGTGCTCAGAGCAGTTGATGCAGCGGTAGACCCACCCAAACTGGTTCGACAGCAAGTGCCTCAGAACAGACTCAGACGGAAGTGTGCCCGGATAACCTTAAAAATACCCCTTGTCTACATGAAGGTCTAATGGTTGGCCGTTGAGTTGCATTTTATTTCATTTCTAAGATCCATAAGAAACATGAGAACCCCGAACGCACGAAACATGCCTGCCCGCTCTGCTCAGCACCTGATGGATGGCGGGAAGTAGTTGAGCACTAGAACAACTTCGGGCGCATGCGGGCGGTGCACTCCCGCATCAAACTTTTCATTTTCATGGTCACGCAGCTCACAAGCATCATGCGCTGCGAACCCTTGAATACAACAACAAATGCGGAGCCTTCATGCACCAGTAGTGGGCGCTTTGCCCTCAACTGCTGCTCCGCAAAGCATGCCGCTTGCGCAAGAGCCTTCCAACGACTGCGGTGGCAGATCCCCGAAATGCAAAAACAAGCCTGTCCTGCTCCCCATCTTCGAGAATGCAGCGGTGGTACTGGAAGCCTGCAAACGGTAGTTTGTCCAAAAGGCCCCCTGCACAATGCATTGAAGGAACGAGAAATGTTGCTGCAATACAACCAGAAGCCGTAGTGGAGACTGCTGGTCTGAGCACGATTACACAAATTTTGCATGCGAGCTATGCTGACAAAGTGCACAAAGAGCGCTCATCGTCATCCAGCTCGGCATTCGCTGGGTTCCTTTGCCGTGCTCTGTGCCTAACTCTCTCATGGATGTTGCTCTCGGGCCCCAGGCCTGAGGCTCGAGATCTTTCTCCAGGGCCGTGCACGCGGTTGAGCCAGACCAAAAACAAAAAAGAGAGTGCGAATTGCTCCCTTCCGCCTTCGCTGGACATCGAATCGGTTTGCCAGCCAGGCATCGCATTAGCGAAGTGGTTAGGCTCGGTGGAGCTGACATTGATGATGGCCCTTGACAGTGGCAGGGCGAGAAACGAACAAAGCGATCACATGTGCCTCAACCCTGGATTCAGCTGGTGATGGTGATGATGATAATGATAATGATGCAGATAGGAGGAGGGGGAGGAGCAGGGGGAGGAGGAAGAGGATGATGATAAAGAAGAAGAAGATGATGATGATGATGACCGTGATGATGGCGACGCTGATGATGCTAATCATGATGATGGTTACGACGATGATGATGACGGTGATGGCGGTGGTAGTAGTGGTCGTGTGTATGATGGTGGCCATGGTGACCGTCATGATCTTGACAGTGATAATGGTGATGCTGAGTTGATGGTGATGTTGATGGTGATTGTGACGATGTTCGTGATGATGATGCTGACTACACGACGACGACAGCGATGATGCAGATGGCCATAATATCTACGCTGTTGATGATGATTTGGATGTTGATGCTGCTGGTGATGATGCTGATCGTCATGATGATAATGATGACGAGGAGGAAGAAGAGGAAAATGCAGATGTGGTAGTAATGGTGCTGTTTGTGATGGTGGCAATTGGGACCGGCATGATGTTGACGTTGTCGATCACGATGTTGACGGTGATGATCGAGATCGTGGTGACGATGGCGATGATGATGATGGTGGTGGTGGTGGTGGTGGTGGTGGTGGTGTGATGGGTGTCGGATGATACTGGTAATAACAACGACGTTGATGATGACGGTGATGATAGTAACTGTAGAGGTGGTGATGATGGGTGTCGGATGATACTGGTAATGACAATGACGTTGGTGATGACGGTGGATGATGATGATGATGCTGGTGATGATGATGATGATCGATGATGATTGTGACGATGATGATGCGGATGCTGTGGCTGATGCTGCTGCTGCTGCTGATGATGATGATGATGATGCGGCGACGGCGGCGGTGGTGCTGGCGGCGGTTGTGGCGGCGCGGGCGGCAGCTCGGTGATGTTTGGATGTCTGTGGCAGATCTTGTGTTGCTGCCGTGTTGAGGCGGTCTGCAATGGGGGATATGGGGGTTTGCGCAAGGCAATATGAAACAAATTGGCCCGGCCACTGACAGTTCGGATCTCCACCGTGAATGAACCACGTGTTACCACCAATGCTGAGCGCGGCTCCTGATCGGCGCACATCCCTCGGAGGGATCCAGCGGGCGCTCGTACTCGTGCAGGGCACAACGGCAGCGCGCATGCCTCGGGTCTGTTAGGAGGATTTGGCACAAGGATGGGTCCGACGATGTGGAGTCGGCATAGGTCTGTTCAGCTGACTAGCCTGACTGGGCAGACTAAGGATTTGCCTGTTGCAACACACACCAAAAGAACAAAGCGAGCCATACGCATCATTCAATTTCACAGTCTCATCCAAACTCCACAATCTGATCAAAAGCTGCTGCGCAGGGCCTGCACGTGAGGCTGCATCTGATGATGATCTGTGAAGTACCATGCATGCTCGCATTCAGACTCAGCTGCTCTGCAGTGCCGAGGTATAAACCTGGAGCGACCAGCGATGGCAGCAGCGCCTGGAAGGGTGATCTTCGGCTCCTGTGGCCTACTATGCTTGTCATAACTGGGGTTCGAAGACCGCACATCTGCGCAGGTCGGCCGCCTCGTCGTCGGCAGCAGGTGCGGACATCGCTCGAAGACTTTGCTTCACCGAGTGGATATCTCACCACAAGCCATTTTGAGAGCAATAGAATGCGAGAAGGATCCCAGTAGCTCACGAGACTTGCAACTCCATGACAAGGAGCAGAGCAAATGCTCTTCCTAGCTCTCCTTCAATCTTGTGCTGGCATGGGCTTGTCTGGCTACTATCAGGGCATGTTGCTGTCACGAACCTGAGCTTTCATGATGCAGGGCGCCAGATGGCTCGAGACTTTCAATGGCAGACAGAGCAACAAACGAGGTCTTGCTTCCCGAAACCAATCTGTGTCAAGCATGCACTCAGGAGGCCGATAATCTCAAAGGACAGAGCGCTGGCCGAGGCCCTTCGTGTCCTCCAGCACGGCCGACAGCTCGGAGGGGAGAGGCGACTCGGCCTGAACCTGCTGGCTGAGGCTTGACTCAGGGAGAGAAAGAGAGAGCTCTATGAACTGATGCGTTGGGTGTGTTGCTGCCAGAGGCTCAGATCCTATCGAAGCCCCTATGTCCTGCACTCACGACCCCTGCTGGCACCGTCAGCGGCACCAGCAAATCCCGCAAACGCTGTTGGCACCAGCGGTCCACCTGCAACTGTGACGCGCGTTCAACTCTGTCATCCTGAGTTACAAAAACTGGTGCTACTATTCGTGGCGTCTTACACAGATTCTGTTGCACGCAGAAACACCAGGCGGAACGAACCACTCTAACGTTGAACACGGATCACTAGGTATCACTCGGCGTGAGTTCTGAAACCGTGCGCCCGCAACTCACTGCAGCGGCGATAGTGCGCAAACCTGCAACAAGATTCGAGCTTGCAACAGAACGAGTTGGCCTGCTTTGCCTCCCACATTTGCGGTGTCTGCACCTGCCCTCGTGCCTGCCATTTAGGAGGTGCAGCATGGAGCATGGGTGTCTATACGCCGCCAACTAGCTGACGAAACGACGTAGCACTGCTACAAAAACTATCAAAACAGGGATCAGAGCAATGCAGTTTGCGCGCACCTGGATCTGCTTCCGGTGTTCCAGTCGCTGATCCCTCACGAGTTCATCATCTTTTTAATGCTCTGCGATTGTTGCATGCTGCGCTTGGGGCTGAAGGATCTGTCAGAGAGCCGGTCTGCCGTGCCTGATTCTCGCGAATTGTCGCATTTGCATGCACGACTAATGAAAACACCATCCCAGTCTCATATCCCTCGACTAGCCTCCAGGCATCGTCCTGTGACCACTGCTCTTCTTTCTTCACCTTCTCAAGGACCTGGAACACATCTCCGGAACTGTGAACATTTCTTAGGGCGATTCACAAGACCTAGCAGGACTTAGCACTTCAAACTTCAAACCCATCCTGTTCAGCCAGTCAATCTCGAGAGCTGTCTGCTTTGAAAAAATAACAAGACAGCCACTGTGCCGTGCACTGCCTGAGGCCAGAAAATGAATTGTGAGGGTGCTTTGTGTCAGAGCTCTGGGACCTCCAGTGGTCATAAGACAGGGGTGCACTGTTGCCTTCTTCTTCTGATCCAGCTCAGCACTCTGGTCCCACGCTCGGGCCTCAGGCACACTCAAGCTGCGGCTTCGGCTTTTGTGCTGCGTGGACCAGACCTCCCTCTGCTTCATGAAGTCCTCAAGCTTCTCCGTCTTTGGCCTCGGAATTGGCGCGATAACTGGATGATATCTGCATGCTCTGTGATTCGGCAGAGCACAACGACGGGACAACCGAGGGCAGCACTTGCCTTTGCACTCCTGAGGGGGAACATGCATAACAGTGGAGACTCGCATCGACTCTGCCTAGAAGCTGTTGTGCTAAAGCTAGACATGAGGATGAGGAGCGTCCGAGCGTCGTCAATTATATTCAACAGCTTCTGCTCCAGTTCCAAGGTCTGCGTCTTCTCCAGCTCCTCAAGTTGCAGCGCCATCTCGTCCCGAGAATCACTCACCGCGCCACCCAAAATGGCCTTCTTGCGCACGGGCTCCATCTCTCTCTCCCGGGCCTCACAAGCAAGCACTCATCACTAACGTTGCACCCGAGACACATACCTCGACTCGCCTCGTAGAGCATTTTCCCTTTCGAGAGCTTCTCGAAGGCATCCTGAATCCACCGGACAGCTCGAAACTCGAGCGCAGTTGCATGAGATGGGGGCTTTTGGTTTCAGGCTTTGCATGGATTCAGTATGTTGGACGAACGCTATGATCGCTGCAGGAATCCGGATAAATGCAGAACACATACCACAAGTTCAGAATCGCTCTTTCCTCTGCAGCCATAGACGTCAAGCGCAAGGTTTCACCACCAAGTGGCCGAAGAAATCTGCAAAAAATCATGGCACTCGGGGCTCTTTCGAGTCTTTGCGTGCCATCTGGTGCAGTGTTCACAGTGCCTATAGGATCTTAAAGCCCACTCGCTAAGTCTTGAGGCTTCGGCGGGGTGCTGTGCACTCCAACATGCTGTTGAAGACTGCAAAGGACCCCCAGTTAGCAACATCTCCCAATAAAACCTGATCGGACTTCTTTCTCATTGTCTAGATGGCCTTCGATGTACCGTCGATGCCTCATGCACTCAGCATCAAGCAACGCGCGCTGCAGGCCGAAGCCCGGAGGGCGCAAGCAAAACAGTTGGCACGGCACTTGCCAGTGCGGGATGCAAATGCGGGAACTGCGGAGTGGCAGGCTCCCTGCTGGTTGTACAGCTAGCCTTCTTGTACATGGCATACAGTCAACCAAGCGGGCATGCGTGCCACTCCGATGCAAGTCACAGGGGGAGAGGGGTCAATTGGACTGCAAATGCTGCAAGTTTGGAGTTTCGGAATTGACGAAGGCATAATTAAGGTAAGCAGACGAACATGGAGGAAGCTAGCAGGAAATTCGCCTCGGCCCCGGCCGAAGCAGTTGGAGGTTCCCACGACGACCGCTAGTTTCCCCTCCCCTCAGTCCCCTCACACAGCCCCCCTCTGCCTGTGGACTCATTGACCGGCCACAAAACACGATCGTGACATTCATATCCAACAAGATGTCGGGTGTCGTGGGAACGACATAAACTTGCTCTTGCCTTCCCAGCTCCTACCTCCAATCTCCTGCCCATTCCTGGCCACGGCCCCCGTCCTGTGCCCCAGCCCCCCCTTCCTTCCTCTACCGGACCACTTTGCATCCGCGGCCGGGCTGAGGCGGACGACCAGAAGCGAACCATTTAGGGTTACGAATGCTTTAGTTCTACAATTACAAGTATCTGCTGAACAACTCGAAACAAGCCAACGACAAGACCTCTTCCTTTGACCCCCGCAACCTCCCCATGATTGAAGCTCTCTTGCCAAGTTTTGGTGCGTGCATTATCGCGTCCTTCGAATTCTCAACGAAAACCTTAGACATCCTAAGTCTGCAGAGAAGACTCCGGAGGATGTAGCCGATTTTGCACGCCTAGCTGCGACCCATGTTCAGGACGGTGGCTTACTATTGCGGCAAAGTCATTCTCCAATTCTGCGTCTAGCAGTCTATCATGCTGCCAGATGACCATCATCAAACATCTTGAGGCCGCCGAGTCGCAAGGCTGTGCACGCAGGCTGATTTGGAAGCACTCCAGCCGGGAAAAATTGTGCATCACTGATTCGTGCTCGCCTATTTAAGCACAAGTTAGTACAGCTGCTCCTCTTTCCGTATCACCTGCCGGGAATCACACCCTGTGGTGATCGCTTGATGCTGCTGCTGGCACCAAAGCAGCCACAGGAGGGAAAGCAGGGATTCCATGTGGCAAGTGCTGCAGCGAGAAACGTCCCGAAGAAAAGGAGGACGCCGGAAAGATGATCGTCGTGAAACAGGTGATTACACAGCAACCTCGGTTTGAAACATGTGGTACGTAGCTCCGGCAGCTGCATTCTCGAAAGCTAGGTTGATGACAAGCGCAACAGCTAAGAACCGTTTTATAGGCTGGCAAAGGTTATTCCGGTTGCCGGTTAGCATGTACATCAGCACGTGCAATTGAAAGTGTCTTAGCTTGGAGGATTCGCACGCGCAGGCTAGAATACGGCTACAATCTCAGTTGCAAAACCTTGCAGGGGGGCGAGGTGCATGCAAAAAGTGGTCAAGGCGGGCTCTGTGCAAATGAGAAGCTGGTAGAAGTGCATGCCTGCGGCAAGACCAACAGTGATGATTGTCGCCGATAGTGTTAGGAGGAAGTCCTTGCACGTGCCAAGATTGGGCGCACCACCAGTATTCGTGCGAAAGGCTGTGTGGACATGCGACGCACATTGATCATTGCAATGCTGCATAATCTATTGGTTGGAGCGGCTTGAAAACGACTAAATCTGGCAGTTGTCAATTCCGCCTGGCACGGGGCACCTGCTTGCCACTCGAGGCTCGCCGGTAGATTCGTTCAGCTTCTTTCTGGCCAGGGTTGAACACTGTTCTTGAGGACGTGCACCGCATACGGAAAAAGAGTGTTCGCTACACAAGTGATGTGTCGAGTGCCGATCCTTCTGAGACGTGGGCCATCGTGGGCCTGTGGTCTGGTTTGGCTTCTTTGCATCCCCTCCCTGTGCGATGGTGCCTGTGATGCTGTCTGGGACCTGTGCTTTGGTCTCCAATGGCGTTCCATGGTTATCGTCTGAAATGTGGTAGTGCAGGGTCGTTCTACCCCGATGGGAGTTGATATAGATATGGTTACAGGTACCTCTTGGTAGTGGAAATAGTTTCATTCGCAGTGTGGTTGTTGCTGCGGTGGTGGTGTTTGTGTTCCCCTTGTCCCTCTGCGGGTGGTGCCCCTGTCATCCTGGCATGGTCCCATGCACCGTCTTTGGTGTGGCTCCTTCGCTCTGGAGTGGCTGGTCGCTCTGCTAGCAGCTAACACTTGCTGTCATGTCACGCAGATCATGACATTGACACCCGCAGCCTCGTCCACCCCTGCCGTGGTTTGGGTGGTGGGTTGTGCCGGTTGTGCTTCGGCGCGAGCGGTATCCGCACTCGCGAAAGCCACAGGGAACGTGACACCAGCAGGTCAAATCCCATCGACTGCGGCCACCCCTCCTCCGACAAGACCGCACCGAAAAATCGGTGTGTCTGTTGTTACAAGCAGCCTTGGGAGGGGTACCATGAAAAACGGAGTAACAGACCTGGGCCTGGGAGCAGTCCTAAGTCTGAATAAGAAGAATAGGGCTTTGGGGTATATCAGAAATACTATCGGTGCGATTACTAATCATTCGCACTTCTGTATTGCCTATATTGCGTGGCGACCCGGTAAGAAAGGCCTAACATCACGAAACCCAAGAAGTCATCACACGAATGCGTTGCAAGGCCGAGTGTCCAAAACGCGATACCTCGTCCTGCGCAGCATTGATGCCAGGCCTGACGACTGTCAAAAGGGTCATCGCTCGTGACGCTTCGAACAATTAAAGGGAATGCCACGGGATGTATGAACTCGTCAACAACGCCGTAGTCTCTTCTACTATCAGCCAGCCCTATGACTTTGACCAAATCCTGGAGTCACCCCTTTTAGCATATGTATATCTCCAAGGCACACACCCAGCACACAAAAACCGTAGGGAAGGCAACGAGCCACATTGCCTTGGCAGGTGCATGGAGACCGTATGAGAGAGAAACGGAAAGACAAGTACACAGACAAGGATTGATAAAGCAATTATGGCCATTACATTTCTGCCAAGACCGTGCTTGCCTACTTGTCATCAGCTTATCGAACTTGCGTGCCCTGCTCGATGTCAACATCGGAGGCCACAACGTGAGGTGTTTGGACCGATTCGCGGCGGATTCGAACACTGGACGATTGGTTCCTGCATACGGAGGAATCGCGAACTGAGACACACGCCGGATTCGCGCGCAGCCCTGGGTCCTAAAACCCTGACGCCTAAAAACTTCCTCTCAAGCGCTAAACCCATCCTGCCCTACTCCGAAATGCGCAAACTAAAACCCTAAACACACTTGCTCTTTTGTTGAATCGTCCAGTGCTGCAGGGGGGATTGGATTCGAATCGCGTGTGCTTGCATCGCGGCAGAGCCCGAATCACGCTTTGATGCAGGTGGTGAACTGCAACTCAGGTTAGCCTGGTTGGCATGGAGATAGATCAGACAGGGTGCCAAAGCAAGTATGAAGGCAACCACCTCAGCATCAGGAGGCTACCGACATTGAACCGGGGTCCAAAACCACAAATTCTGAGTTCGAACCGGGCGGAGATTTGCAAAGGCAGAGCTTCTTGGCTCAAATTTGCGGCATGGGCTACAGGTCACACCACTTTAGGCTGCGTGCACTTAGAACATGTCAGATGTGGCGGTGTGCATATGGGACCCTTGAAGGATAATGCAGCCAGATGGCGCCGCCGTGATTGTCTCCACCTTTGAACCTATGGCATTTGGATGCCAGAAGTCTGAGAAGAGGGTGTGGCTTGACGTGGCTTCGTGAAAGCTGCCAATATTGCCGCTTCACTCACACTGAAGAAGCGCTCCCATAAGTTTGCCGCATTCGCTAGACTACCATCTCGCGCTATCCGGTCATGCCTCGCTGCGACCATGTCCAACTGCGCCCAGAGAATGGGTGTTGTCGCACCCAGCAGCCAGCGGTACCTTACAGGATGGCTTTTTTTGCCAACTGCGCGCCCCGATCCGAAGCTCTCCTTGACAGGGCACGGGAAGGAATACTGGCCGAGCTGGCTCGTCAACCCAGCGGACACGGTTGTGCACACAACCTTCTCAAAACTCTCCACGGACCCAAACCTCGGTTTGGCAGCAAGATCTCGATGTCATAATATACAGGAAGGCGCTCAGTGGATCAGCTCCCTTGAAATTCTTGGCCCCATGGAGTCATGGCCAGGGCACCAGCGATGAACACATTCCATGACCACCTGGTCCGACTCTGGGCTCTCGCTGAGCAGAGTGGCTTTCTGCAAGCACTGTTACCCCGCGCCCTTCCAATTTTCGTTCGCAAAACGAGCTTGACCTCACGGAGCAATTGACAGTACGGCAGTTTGTAGCAGTTTGCAAGGCTAGCACCATCGCGATGCCAAGCACGAGCTTGACGGCATCCGCAGCAAGGGCAACGTTCGTCCTCCTCATCCTCGTCACCTCCCTGTCGCTCTCTTTCCTTCTCATCGTCATTACCATCCGAAGCAACTCACTACGGTGCAACGAGGCAACCACTGGTCGAGTGGTCAAAATGCAATGCACAACAGCCGCTGGATTGACAAGAGACATGGGCCAGTTCCATGACGTGCGCGATGGGTAGGCATTTCTGAGACGTGGTGAAGTAGTGACGAATAAAACTGACGAGGAAACATGACGGAATTTGCTGACGGCCGCGGAAAGGCTGAGAAATCTACGCATCTGGCCGTGTATGTTTGCAAGGAGAGGATGTAGTACACAGTTGCCCAGTGCATCTGAATCTGACCGAGTGCCCGTGGCACTTATTGACGCGCTACTCCGAGTCGGAAGAACTGACAACGAAGCAGTGTACTTCCGGCCGCCTGCCGGTCACATTGAGGCTCCTCCTCCTCGTCGTGGCCCATTTCGCAGCACGTGCACTTGGTTTCATCGAGCCTCACACTCTCATTAGCAGGCATTCCGGCATTCCCACAGTTCAGCGGCAATTGCATCCAAAGGCGGAACTCGGAAATCGAGTGTCAAAGTGCATTGCTGCCACCGATTAGGACTGAGGCATGTTGGGACAATACGATGGCGTCGCAACTGCCACAGAAAGAGCAAACCAATCGGCACTATTGCTCCATAAACTTGATCAAAGCGTAGTGCTGCGAGAGTAGCTTGAAGTTCGCAAGCACGACTTGAAGCTGGCGCACGCTGTCGTAATAATTCCTGCAGCACGAGAGGTAAAACACCCGCGGCAGCTCTGGGACTGGAGTGCTGGCTGGCTGGCACTGGCTGGCACTGCTGCACGCGGTTGACGAGGTGACACAGCCGAGTGTCTGGAAGGCTGCGGTGCCGAAGAAAAAGCCCACCACTCCTAAGCGGCTAACCAGCTTTGGAAGCACGGGACAGCGACGACCTACAAGCCCATAGAAACCCCGGTCGAGGTGCCAACACCAGCGAAAGCCAACAGCCCATGATGGTCGAAGAAGGTGTGTATCACCAGCTCCGTAATCATCACCTCGGTCCGAAGTGCACCGAGCTTGCATTTGACCCGCGTCTGGCACGAGGCACTTGCAATTGCTGCAGGTAGGTGACCACCATGCTGCCAAAAGCGATTGCCAGTGTGCAGGGGCCAAGAAACGTCGGCCTGATCTTCAAGAGCATCTTCTTCTGATCCTCGTGGCTCTTCACGAAGGCTGCATACTCGAAGACACACCAAAGTCGCTGCACCTTACCCGATGGCGTTTTTTTTTCTGCTTTTGCCGCTACCGTTCGTATTGTCTTTGTTGTTGTGTTCGTTAGTGTTCTTGGTCTTGTCATTCGTGATATAATTATTATCGTTGTGGTTCTTCTTCTTCCTATTGATACTGCTATTGTTCATGCTATTGCTGTTCCTTTTTTAGTTTGTTGTTGCGGTTGATGCGGTTATTGTTGGTTGTGGTGCTGTTGGTCGTTGCGGCTCTGTTGGTGGTTGTGGGCGCGGTGGCGGCGGTGGTGGTGTGGTTGTTGCTGATGTGATTTTCTTGATGTCGTTAGTATTCCTGTCACTGCTATGTTGATCGTTCTTGTCCTTGTTGCTAGTGCTACTGTTCTGACTCTCGTTCGTGTTACTTTTAGTGCTTCTCATGCGCTTGTTATTGTCATGTTGTTTGCTTCTTCGTGTTCGCATTATTGCTGTTATGATTTCTACGACTATGATAGTTATTTTCTTGATTCTTAGTACGACTACAGTTTCTATAACCCTTATTGCCATTATGGTTGCTTCTATTCTACTGCCCTGAAGAAAGTCATACAGTTATTGCTCTTCGTCTCACTCCTCTTGGTCGTGGTGGTGGCGGTGGTGGCGGTGGTGGTGGTGTTGCGCATACCGGGGAAAGGTCCGGTGTGTCGGGATGTGTTGGCAACTCACTGCAACCGGCAATCCTTTCCAATTGCATCGAACAGCAACGGAATCTATCGCAAGTGAATCAGCCAAAAGCACATAAGTCGGATCCCACAGGACCAACAGGCTCTTCGAGCTTCGCAGAAAGCCGCCGATGCTCAGGATGCCTTCGGCCTTCAACTGATCATCCTCTTGATTGATGCCTGTGCAGGGAAAGCAGGGAAAGAAGGCAGACTGGTTGAGCGACAAAGGGTAAGTCAACCAAGATGCAAACTTTGTCCAGGAATACCGAGGACTGGGATCGCCAAAACACCAAGGTGAGGCAGGCTCCGAGCCTCAGACTAGAGCGTGTGCATTCGGTGACTCGACACGGCTCAGGCCCATCCTGGCACTCGCAGTCAAGGTGCACTCCCGCACCAAGAGCCCAAAGGGAGAACTCATAGTAGTGATGATGCCCCACGTGGTCCTTGAGCGCTGAGCCAGTCCGCAGGGTTCACCGTCACAGACCCTGCCGAAGCCCTGCTAGTCGCTTTGTTGGAAGTGGCTGAGGCTGAATGGACGCGAGGGCTCATGTTGACCTGTGCTTAGTGATTGGCTGTTGGTCGCTGACACGTGCATTCCAGTGCCAGGAGGCAATCGACGGCTTGACATAACCAGGAAGGAAGCCGGCGCCTCGTGTTGACTAGCGCGTGGATAACTCTCTGCCACTTCATGCTTCAACCCCGCAAAGCCCACCTGTCATCGACAAAGCACACTCAACAGCTTGAACGAACGAGTCCACTGCTTCTTGAAAGGGAGCCCAGTCACTTTTCAGAGCCGCTGCAATAAGGGCGGCCAGCGTCCCTAGCCTGAAGATGGAAAGGAAAAATGTCGACGTCCAAGCACTCGAGACAGTCCACGGTAAGCAACAAAATGCTCAATGGAGAGAACTCCGCACATGATATCAGTGATATCAGTTTACCACCGGGTGAAGGTCTTTGAACTGCTGCTGCCAAGATACACAGCTGCCGCTGGACCGTTCTTCCTCGGTAAGTGTGCACGTGCTAGTCCAGCTGCGGGAACGTGTCCATGAGAGCAGGCATAAGAGTGAACAGTGCAAGAAGGAAAGATGGAGACGAGACGAGACACTCTATTTACTATTCCGAGATGAACCAGGCCCCCTCCGAAAACTAACGGCCGTGCACGCCGGGGAGCAGAACTACAAGTGCAGCGATCTTTCGCCAGGCGTGCTCCTGCCACGAATGGGACCAGAACTCATCCAGCGCCTGCCAGTGCAAAACAAAACAATGGGAGTTTCGGATTTCCATACAGAACATAAGCTACGTTGCAGATGCACCGAACATGCGCTTTAGTGCCGCATTGAGCCTTTTCAATTCTGTTTACTTGGTTCATTCATTGTTGTGGTTTCTTCGTTCTGCGATGTGGGTTTCGGAACATTACCTGATGCTTGTCCTCGTCTGCATGTGGCTCTGTTTGTTAGATGTTTGTTATTGTCTTGTTTGTTTACAGGCTTCCCAAACCTTGTCAAGCTTAAGTTATCTCAAGAGATCCTCGTGCATTCCGGGCGGAACGCTGGCGGATTCATTCAAGCTAGGGGCTTCTAGATTTGTTGTTCGGGTCTATGTCTAGAGCGGAGTTTCATACTTTCTGGGACTAGCGAATCGACTGTCGAATGGGGTGTAGATTAGGTAACTAAACTGTTTAAGGGCTATAGCGCTGTCCAAGGGAGCACCAAATCCTGCATGCCAAACGTGCAGGGTCTGACCAATCCCGAACACTGAAGCTATCCCTCCCTTCTAGGAGTTTGCGATCAGAATCAGGGTTGCGGCCTCACAGATTAGAGCTTAGGGTATAAGGAGCGTTTAGAGTGGGGATTCAGGGATTGGAGTTTGGTTTGCTGAAATTGAAGTCGTAATTGTAGTTCCCTTCTCATCAACGGATCTTCACCTACTCGCGGATACTGCCAGACCAGTGCTTAAAGAACGACAAAATAAATAGTAAAAAAAAAAAAAAAAAATGATGCTTAACTAGTATATAAACAACTATGACTTCTGAATGGTACAGAGAAAAGTCTTTACATATTCGATCAAACGATAATTGCTCGACATGTTGAGATAGTGATCTGGGTTCATACGACGTTGAGGAATCGAATCATGATGACCCTTATTGACGAGGTCTGGCCAAAAACACACAATACTTCATTGAGGGTTTTGAACGTGAGGCCCATCGATATCGATATATGACCTAGTAGTAAAGGACTGGGGGCAGTGCTTAGTCTGATTAGGTGTGGTTGGATGGTGTGGGCTGCATTGGAGCACATAGATTAGTGCAATACACCTTATGATGTGTGGTCTTTGGACGTAGAAGGATTACAGGCAATCCTTGGCATGCGTGTTTGGATGGATAGTGAACGGCTTGTGGCCAGTACTTACTGACTCGGTACGATGGCTGCGGTTTGGATCGTGTGGGTTGCACAGGAGTAAAGCATTACTTAGTATGATCAATTGTGTTTGGACGGTTTGGTGTAGTAGTGAATGGACCAATTGCGAGACACAGCATGACTATCCATGTTCGGATGGATAGCAACAGGAATACGGGCAATGCTTAGCACGACTATTCGTGCGAGTTGAAATCCACGCCTGAGTTTATATCTTCAGCTCGCTAGTTCTGTCTGTCTGTCTCTCTCTGTCTGTCTGTCTGTCCGTCTGTCTGTCTTTCGCTATTCCTGGCTCTGTAATTCTGTCCTTCTTTTCTTCCGTGCCCCTGCTTATTTGTTCCTGTCCTTCTCTCGTCAGTTTTGCCTTTCTTAGGCTCGCTCGTTCTTTCTTTCTCGGTCTGTGTTGCCTTCATCTTCTTCCTTCCCTCCCTCGTCTACTCTCCAACCAAAGCGATGCAAGCAAAATCACAAGACTTGGTGGAAGAACATGGCAAAACAACCCTATCCAAAATTGGCCCTGCAGCCTCGGCCACTCGGCTGAGGTGATAGAAGCTCTTCCTGCGCAGGAAGAGGCCGAGAGGCCGCAGGCAATTCCGCCCTGCGTCGATTCGTCAACCCTCTTTCGGATCTTCTGCACTTTGGACGGCGCGTTCTCTGAGTGCGGCAAGCACTGGAAGCACTGGCACAACACTCAAAAGCAAGGGTCCCACTGGTTCCGCCGTCGCGCAGGATGTGTCCCAGGCCTGACTGGGACAGCCAGGGAAAAGACTTTCCTGAAGCAACTGCCTGCGACTCCACTCCATGGCTTTGCACTGGCACAGCGAAGTCATGAGGTTTCCAACGAGCAGCCCCACAGCACGGAGGCAGCCCGGGTCGACCTTTGAATCTCCGGACGGATAGCCGTCATCCTGCCGGCGAACAGAATCAGAAGGACCTCGAGCCTCATGCCCCGAAACAGAGTAAAGGCTTCTCATTGATACCGTGGTTACTTTGTAGCAAGTGCACATCCGGCAGGCCGTTGCTGTACTATGCCTGACTGTGCATACTTAGTGACAGCTCGTTGATAAGAATGCCTTCCGGCACTCAGTGTGCAAAGCTGCTTTCTTGTGCCAGCTCGGCAGTCCTGCTGATAAACTCGGCCAAGTGCTTCATGTGCGGATTCAGGTGGGCCCGAGCACTCTTCTCATCGTCCAAGACCCTGACCTCCATTGTGCTCGCATGCCGCAAGCCACGTGATCCAGGACAGAGGCTTTGCAGCTAGGCAAGATACAGTGACGGTATCGCACAGCGGTATGCAAGGGTCAAATGCAGCGCACCTCGCCAGGAAGTTCTGGTGATGGGAATGGTGGCGGCTCGACAGCCATATCCGAAGTATTTTGATTGAGAAAACTTCGCACCTTCCCGTGATGAGCCCACGGCTGCGAGATCAGATATTAACATCAAGATGACTCGCGCATGTCGCAAGAAGCCCGACAAAGCCCTCCCCCTCCCTAAGTTGAAGTTTACAACTCTCATGTCTTGATCCTCTGCGGTCGGCCCGCAATGGCCTGCATCTGTTGCCGTTCCTCCGCCTTTCTCAATCGCTCCTGCCGGCGCTCCGCGGCCTGCAGCTGCGCTGTCACGACTCCACGGCCTGAACCTTTGTGTCTCCTTACCTCTCACCGACCTCGAACTCACGAAACAATCGGACAGGGCCTTTTGCCGCTTTTCCTGTGCCTTTCGGTCTCGCTCCTCGCCTTGGAGCGTAGCCCCAGCAGAGTCCCGAGCCCAGCCCCTTCCAGTTGAGCTGTCGAAACATACACGAAGGACTCATCCGACGAACATCCGACTCATCCGACCCCAACGTTATTCTGCAGCCTCTATGAAACCATGAGGCTCTTGCCGTTTTTCTTCCAGGGTTCACTGTCAAAGGGCTCCACGTTTACAATCGTTCTTTGATGGCGGGCGCAATCCCCATAAATCTCAATGGTCTGTCTCTTCGTTTCGATGCCACGCGTTACAAGTCCGAATCAAGATGCTCTTGATGAAAAAAAGGTGCAAAACGAAAGATCGTAACAGACTGCTTGGGTGCCCGCGGGCTTCTTTGTCAGCAGCCTCGCAACACTGGCAGTCGATCTGAAGACGCAAAGGTTTTGGTGAGGAGCCTGAAGCCTCCTTTTATGCATGTTACGCGCAGGTAATTTGCAAGCAATTCATCGCAGAAGCCAGATTCCGTGAGCTTCTGGGCTGCACCCCAGGTCCCCCGCAGGTCTCTGCAAAAAGCCGCCCCAGGCTTCTTTGGCCTTGCAGAGTAGGCGGAGCGACTCTAAGAACACGAGCTTCGACATCTTCCGACCGTCCGACCTGCTTGGCTCTGTCGGAGAGGATAGCGCGGACAGCCGCCAGCTCTTTTTGAACCTTAACGCTGCAATGGCGATGTGCCCATGCTGTCATGCCCTCCACTTCCACACCAAGTCTGACACATCAGACGGTCATAAAAAATTCACACTCGCGAATGTCCATAATAACAATTGCCATCAACCACTACAACATGACCCTGCAGCCCTGCCCAACGAAGGACCCAGAAAATGATGTTGTGCTGAAGCCCCACCTCGGCGTGATCCGGCTGCATCTTCAGGACCGTTTGCAGATCGTCGCCTCGAGGCCAGCTTGGACTGAGAAAGGGAAGGCTTTACACATTGTTGCGGCTGGGTGGAACCAATGTTGCATCCGGGCCACTCACGCTGACATGCTCATCACATCCCACGGCCCTGCAACTCCACAGACGCCTCCCCCAAGCTGTGGCTGGGCCCCCGCACGGGCTTCCTCGGCTTTTCCGAGGACGCGCCGCGCAACGGCGCGGCGGAAGTGTGCTTTCGCCCGGAGAGACCTCAACGCTTTCAAGCGGAAAACCGACTGTGCGTGGACACCTGAGGCCTCTGCGACGAGACATTGTTGCGGGGCACTTCTGCAAGTGTGAGGGCTTTGTTGCACACGTCCTGTCATGGAATGCTGGTTACAACACCCGACACTTTCGAGCCTGAGTGGCCTTGTGTGTTCAGCATTTCATGGGCGTCTTGGTTTGCTGCGAGAAACATGCAGCCAACACATCCAAAGCGTCTAAGCTAGCACGATGTTCACCGCTCCTCCGCTGCGGAGTGCTCCTCAACACGAAGATACACCTTGCATCTGGAGAAACTATCAACAAAAGGTCAACTTCTGCTGCATCTGTGGGTCGATACTATGCCTTGCCTGCGCCAGATTGGCATATAGCGGCATTAGCAGCTCCACTTTTTCCTCGCTACATCAGGGTTTGGGGTGGGCACAACTGACAACAGACGATCCGTAAATACCCTAGATGCCGACTAACCCAAGACAAGTCAATCCGACGACGTAAGTATTACAAAGGCCTCAAGTGTTGCCCGCAGGCCCTAGGCATCGCCGGATCTTTGGCCGTGGTCATCAACAGCCGCTGCGAATCGCACGGATAACGACAAAGAACGATCGTCAACGAGGGCACTGCACCGATGTCCTTGCGGCGAGCATCCACAAGATCCTCGACCTTCGAGACTGTGGAAGTGTGACAACTTGAGGGATCCGCTCATCGTGTAGCTTGCTGTCGGGCGGACGAGGGGTCTGGAGCTAGGCTTCCGGCATAAATGACGGCTTCTCGGTAGTAGTCCCTGGCCTGCCGTTCCACCAGCATTCAAAAACAGCCAGCGACATGCCTAAGATCGCTTCACACATATGCGCAGCAAAAATCCTCCTATGTGACTTGGCAAGCTGGCACTGTCAATCGATCAAGCAGCCCAAGCACTCCGGCCTCCAGCAAATTACCAGACTTGAACTTGTCATTACCAATCCTGAAGAGCATACTCGAATGCAGCAAGTGCACGGCAGGAGCTACTGAAGTGGAAAAGGATCTCTCGCAAACCAAGGCTGCCAACACCTGCTGAAGCAGAGACATTAGTTTGGCTTGTCCGGTGGATGCCACAACAGACGGGGGACTGCTGAAGAACCGTGGGCGGGTCCCGCACTCATCAGATGAACATGACACTCTGCAGGCCTGAACTCATTCCTCTGGAAGGGTTCATGTTCATGTCCTCTGTACTGCTGCCGAACATGGGCAAGAACCATGCTTGGCCCCGGGGCCCCGGCGTTTTGAATTCGGTGGCGCGTGACACGCGCTGTGCATTGTTCATGGCCTCCTTGCGGGATTGCACCTGCCATCAGACGACGCTTGGACGTGGCTGTGAGAAGGTTACCGGTCTGGCCTTCTCCTTCCACTCCCTTTCCTGCTTCTCCTGCGCCAGGCGACAGACACAGTCACAGCCGCAGAACTGCACGGGAACGCAAAATCATCCGTGCCCAAATCGCACCTTCTGGTAGTCTTGAAAGCTGCGCGTCATGGCTCTGGACTGGGTGTCAATCAGAGCCCCCTGAGGCCCTGAAGTTAAAGCATGTAATAGCGTAATAGCTGCGCTGCAGCCCCTCGCAGAAATCCCGTGCCAAGCAGCTCGCGCAATGTCTACACAACTCTGGCTTGCGAGGTGAAGGCTCGGCTGAAAAGCGAGGCCGGGTTGAGCGAGCATGCGAGCACTTCATTTGAGAACCCTTCTCGCGCACAAGTGTGTCTGTGTCGTACTGACGCATTGCATTTGGACCAGCCCTGGGCCCACTTCGAGCACGCCTCGGGCAGGAACGCGGCAGCTGCGGCCGGCATGGGACCATACAGGGCCCTTGTGCAGGGCCCTCGATGGCCGTCTCGAACTGTTGCGATGTCTGGGCTACCCGGCTACCCCATGCCCGGCTTCGGTCCTGAATCCTACCTCGTCTTTAACGTCTTCCGTGACTGGCACTCTGAGTGCGAATGATGTCGGAAACTGCCTGGGCGAAACTGCATACCTGAAATCGGCTAGATGCCCAACCATCAGGAACTGTCGTGCTGACCTGGAGCCGACAATGGAGAGGCAAGCCTAGCATGTCGGCAGAATGCTGCAATCCTCTGAACGAGTCAGCCGGACGAAAGAAGTCAATTGCCAGCTGTTGTCGTGTGAGCCACTAATCATGCACGCTTTGTTCCTCCCGTGCACGATGTGGCATCTTAAAACTCGAACATCCCAAACTGCTGCAAGAACTGTTCTCGTTGCAGTGATGAAGGTGCAGAGGCTTCAACGACCGTCACATCTTGGTGACGATGCATGCGAAGCCTCCCCTCTAGCATGTCTATGCGCTGCCATCCTCAATGTGCTCTAAGCTGTACCAGCACGAAACAAGCTTTGCTTGCTGAGTCGGGGCAGAATGCAGAAACAGACCAAGTGTCTGCAGTCTACAGTGCACCAGCCTGGCTGGTCAAGCGAGCAAATCTCAGTCTTGGAGCATACATCATGCAGATACCTGGGCATAAATCTCCGAGTAAAACAGCGCAGAGAAAGCCCGGGCCTCCTCTTTTCCAGCGAATTCCACTCCGCACATGACCAGACATGCTCATTCGTCGCCGGGCGTCTGCTCCAAACTGCGAAAGAAAAGTAGAAGGACATCCAGAACCAGTCATCCCTCCAACAGCGCCATTCTTGGCACCTTTCACGGGTCCTCCAGGCAGGATCCCTGAGGCTGACGCATGCTTACGCAACCTGAACAGCAAGCAAGGAGGACTTTCCACCTCGCCCATAAGAAAGGTAAGCACCAGTGAGCAACACAGAAGTCCTCCAAGAGTCCACGATGCCCTCAAAGATAGACAGGTAGGTTTTGCCTTGCTCTTCGTCGTGCCGGAAAATCCGCCAGTACATGGGGATGTTGTACAGGATCATGTAGGGGCAATAGAAGAAGCCCTCAGGGATCGCGGCAATTCACACGCGAGCAAAACTCCCTGCATGCCAAGAAGCCTTCAATAAGACTCTGCAATGCCCTTCGAATATTGCAAGGCCTGCAGTGTGAGCACAACCATGAACCGCTTGGCGGCCACTCCACATGCCCCGGCCATGTGCGTCCGCACCTCGGCGTATAATCTCATTATATCACTTCGGGATGCGCCAAAGCAAACTTGGCTAGCGGCTAGTCCCGCAAGAGTCCTCTGAGACTGCCTATACTCTTGTCAAAGGAGTCAAAACATAGAAATGCATCCTGCTTTGCTTGCGTGATGAGTCTGTCCTACCCATCCTGCAAGACCACCACAGACCCTTGATGCCTGTAGGATCAAGGCCGCCAATAACCTCCCGCTTGCAGAGCTCTTGCAATGCTGGGCTCCTTGAGGCTGGAAGCCTGAAAACGACTCAAGCCAGGCACCAGCAGCGTGAGGGACGCCAGCGAGGCCAGGGCGAAGAGGGAGCACCAGCCTTGAACAGTTTTTTGGAGCAACGACTGTACCCCCCAGACATGCATATTTAGTAGAACGGTTACATGTCGCTATTCATCAACGTATACCCAAAGCATGCGGAGCTATGCTCGTTCGGGCCTCCTTGCACCGTCAGAAGCCCCGTCCATACAGAACTTCTTCTCAGAACCACCCGTGATCGCCGACCCTTCTAACTGTCTAACTATCCTCTCACTGCCAGTCACTACCACGCATGCCAACATCCCTTGATAAGCTCAGCTTTAGACCCTAGCTGTGCCTCCGCCGACCACTGTCGACTTGTGTTCGCGACTGCTTTACCCGAAAGTCTGCGAAAACAGCATCTCCACATGCGCCGCCGCTGATAGCCAAGCAGCACATGGCTTCCAAGACCTCAAAGTAGGCATTGGTGGTAAACGTGCCTGGCATGCGTCAAGTCGTCATAGCAACTGCGACGATTCCTTCCCTCAATCGCGCCTGTGTGCACAAGACCGCAAGGGAAGACCCTGCAACCCTGAATTGAAGAACCTGATCCACACAGCCCGGCGGGATCCTAGGAGCAGAATGCATTGATTCTTCGGGTGCACGGGCACGAGCCTACAAAGGAGAAGAACTCCCCGACGAAAGCCAGCAGAGCCATGATCATGCTGCCTTGCTACGAGCGTATGGGGCAAAACTAAATCTGCGAGTGCACTTTTGCACTGCAGCTTGCTTGGAGTCTCGAGGCATAGGACCATAGGAAAATATAGTCAAGGGCTGAGACAGCACGTCTTCAGTGCCGAGGCACAGAACTCGACGAAGCACTTGCCGCAACAGCCCTTCATCCAGTGCTGCCGCAGGTCCTGCTTGAACGTGCATGTGACAGCGGCGAATTGCTGATTTCTCTCTTTGGTGAAAACTCTTTGGTGTGAATGTGGGCTTCACCATCGCTTCACGGAATACCCGCACCGACTCTGTCCCTTCACGGCCCCATGAAACCAATGGACCGAGAGATCCTGAGCCTGAAAGTGTCGAGTATGCATCTCGAGTACCAAGGCGAGTCGGGTGGCAACAAGCTTCGCAGTGTTGCCAAAATGCGGTGCGGGCCCGAAAGCTTGGCCAGATGTGGACTGGCCGACAGCATGCTCGCAATGCGAGGAAGCCAGTGTAAGTAAGTGAGGGGGTACTATGCGAAACAACATCTGGCCGGTCCATCAGCTGATGTCGCTATATGGCACACGTCACAGACGAAGCGACAGCGATGCCCGTATGCTGTTCGGAGCCGAAGACCGATATTTGATCTTGCGACTATGCGAGAGTAAATTCAATACCTTGACGGTGCCTGGAGAATCGCGACTGAAGTGGACCTAACGACATGTTGTGGTCCTGAGAAACACCTAATGGCCCCAGTTTTGCAAGCGAGACGACGTGGTGCTTGAGGCTTCAATTGAAGCACGCGATTCTGGCTAACCTCCGGAGTGCGGTCGAGAGGCTGTTGCGAGCTGCTCCAGTATCAAGCAGATCTGCAAAACCTGCGGCTGGGCTTGAAGGTTTTATCAAAGCAAACGGTCTGGTCGGCGTGGGCCCCAATCGTCAGTTGCTTCTGCAACTCGCAGTGGGTTGCCCAAACCCTAAACCCCGAGACCCTAAACCCTAAACCCGAAAACCTTGAACCCTCCATGAAGATTCAGGAAACCGATTGTTCGCTGAAGCTCACCGGCCCCTCGTCCTAAGCCCGACATGTAGAACTGCTGTGCCGAAATGTGAACAACTAGAGAAGCCTTGCGAGCGTCAGCACCTCCCAGGATGAAACGACATGAATTCGGCCCAGCCGCCCAACAAATCTCCCCGATCGCCGCCAAGCTCCGATCCAGAAGGATCGAATTCAGGGGTGTGTCGAACAGCACCTGCGAACTGCTTACTCTTCTGTCGGCTCATTTATATGACCCCTTCATCCAAAAGCACGAAGGCCAAGTCGCTCAGATTCACAAGCCAGGTGCTTTTGATCTTCGGCTGTTACAAACCGAGACACTGCCCACAAGGCATCTCAAGGAAAGTAAGAGACTCGGGTTGCAGGAGCCTGGCGCTCGTTGTAGAGACTTGGGAACACACTCCGCCATGCACATTCCTGAACCAGTCAGGCTTCGCACAGCTCTGTCTGAGGCTACGAGTTTGACTTCAGCAGCGAGGTTGTGAGTACGCCCACGGCAGCATTCTACAAGTCGCGGCACTCCATGGCCACGCGGCATGAACCCAAGGACACGCGGTGTTGCAAGCCTTTTCCATGCCAACCCTCAAAGCAACTGAAATCAGCCCCACACGCTGGCAAATTTAAGCCTTTCATAGACCACAACATGCGAAAACACGGGAATCACCATTGACACGCACCCTTCAGAAGCAGGAGCGTTGAGGATTTCAAGAGTGATTTTCAACATTCACATTCAGGGATTGGGGCTTCAGGGCTTGAGGTCTGCGGTGGCAGCCGTAGCAGCTGTAGCATAGTAGCAGTAGTAGCAGCAGTGGCAGTGCTCATCGGTTCCCCCTTGTCCAAGCGCACACGCAACGACTTCCAAAAGAAAGTACTCAGGTCAACCTCTTGTATGACGTTCTTGCAGGCATTTGCCAAATCTATCAAGACAGGGCACAAAGAGGAAGGGCACGCAAAGGTTCCGCAGATAGCGAAGGTAGCGACGATCCTGGCTGTCAGGCGGTCCCTGCACCACAATCTGGCTGACACTTGAGCCAAACCAGATACCTGTCGCACCCTCCGTGTCCTGCGGCGTGTGTGCCGGCCGAGACCGCAGCCGCGTGTGCCTCGGAGTACCGGGCGGAGTGGTTGCGTGGGAAGTTGCATCTTTCTCGAAAACCAGGTTATCTTTATCGGCTCAATTGCTGACTTTGGCATCCTACTCTCAAGGCATTGAAGTTGCAACACAGCGCTATGTTTTGGATTAGATCCTCGGCCTGAAGAAGAGGAAGTTGCAGCAAGAAATGACGACCATTGACGCCCACCTTGCAAGCCAACAGACTTACGGATTCAGTACGACAAAAGGCCCAGCGATGCGAGAGCCCGATCTCTACCTGGGAAGCCTTGTCTCAGTAGCCGACCATGGCCACAGAGGCCCATCTCCATCCATAAAGTGGCCCATGGCTTGGGGCTTGTGGTTGGTAGCCGGTGGCCCAGCCAGCAAATTTATTTCAGAGCTCTGCAAGGCTTCTTGGAGTTCACTGCTCTTTTGCATGATGCCTCCCCTGAAGCTTGGTCTGCTCAGTCCTGCCACAAAGCTCGAGCCAAGCACTTGGCGATGAAGACTCTTCGAAGCACGGGGCCATCGCAGGTGCCCGAAGTATCCAGCAGAGTCTTCATTCTCGTTGAAGTTTTTCTCAACAGCGCACCGCACTTGCTTTGCCCTGCCTCAGCCTACGGCGCCCTCTCGTGGGGCAGCATCGGACGGGCGCGGTCACACCATCAGAGGTTCCTCTCCAGCAACTGGGAGGGCTGAAATGCGGATGGAGGTGCACGCATAAGCGAGGAGGGTCCGCTGAACCTGACAAGGCAGAGGTAAAGGTGCCAGTCGCTGGTTTTGCCGTGCTCCGGCCTGCTCACCAGCGCGGCAGGTGCCTTGGCCGGCACATGCTCATGCAGCATGGAGTCTGTCCTTCATGTTAAGTCTCGCAAAAGGGTATGAACCGTATGCAGCAAGACGTGAACGGCACCAGGCCAAACAGCACTTGAACAGTCTGCTCCCGAATGCGACTCCGCTGCCATTCACAGGCCCCGGAGCACCGTGTTCAATCGGCCAGGCGCTGGGCGGAACTGCGAGAAGAGTTGCCTGCTGGCAGCCATCGCGAAATGCATCGCATGAAGCGAAATAAGGCAATCGCGAGGCACGAGTAGGATACACATGTCGCCAGAAATCTTCCGACGCTCAGCGAGCAAAACAAGCCCGACATGTCGAAACCTACCCATGCAGGGTCCTCCAGCGACACCGGGCAGTCGCCGGAAGCCATAGGGCGAGGCCCGGGCGTTGAAACCCTCGACGGGGTCAGACAAGCTTCTTGGACTTGAAGACTGGACCGCATTTGGTTCTTGAGGCGTTTCAGGAAGCAGTTTGGTCTTTCTCTGGCCCGTGACTCGTGACGAGGAGCACTGTCAACGACGGGCACTTCAAAACCCGCTGACCAGCCTCGGCGTGCCCAAGCGCGGCGAAAGTGGCATGGCCAGGCGCCAAGGCAGAGCGGCCTCGTTCGTGCAGACACAACTGTCGGGAGTGTCACTCGAAAAATTGCATGGAGCTAATTCTGCCTCTGAAGATACACATTGCGTCTCTGCAAATCTCTGCCTCTGTCAAGCTCTGTCAAAGCGGGTCTCAAGGCGAATGGAGGCCAGGTTGCCGTGGTGTTCCAGTCAGCAGCATTGAAGGCATACCTTTGGAGGAGCAATGAATTGCTGCACATTTTGCCGAACATGAAGCGGACCGGTCTAGACCAATTGACACGCGTACCTTGAACTCTCAGCCGCAGGGCCTCTGCACTAACTGCCATTGCTCTTTGAGGTCCAGAGCGAGTAGGAGCGGACCAAAGTAGACGGAGACGCCTCTTGTCCGTAGGACATGGGTGAGGGTCTGGAAGGCTTGCGATCTTGCTGAGGTGCAGAAAGCGAAGTGGTGAGAACTGCTTCAGCATTGCCGCGCCTTGATCTTCTGACCTTCTAACGGATGGGGCCATTACAAAATCGATCTTCACCTCGGGAGTGCTTGGGCATGGATCATCTGGCTCTGCCGGACAGCTCGTCTACAGGCCTAAATATCAGCTGTGGTGCTTTGCAACAGGGTTACATCTGCTGCCTACACTCACAGCCCAGCCTTCTAGCTTCGTCAAAAATCCCGCCATCCCATTCGACAGAGACACTGCCAACCGCCACGCTGCGGCGGGGATGGAGAAGTGCAGGAAGCCGGCCGTCTCCTGACCGGGCGGTCAGGCTTCACAGTGTCGGACAACAGGGGCGGGGGGCGGGGAGGGCCCAAGCAGGCCAAGTGCATCGATGCCTCTGCTTTGACGCTGTGTCCATCCACTGTGACGAGGGGTGCCGAAGTCCTCGGGACGACGATTCTGCACGATGCCGGTATAGGCTGGGTTACTAGCATTGACACTGCGGCCGCGCACGGCCTGGACGTGTATGGAATAAAGACGTGGAGCCGCAGCGTGTCTGTCTCTGAACTTACTGCCCGCGAGTCTCGAGGTGCGCAGGAATTTCGGAACGCGAACTTTCAGAGTGAAGGGCTCATCATTTCGAATCCTTGGCCAGAAAATCCAAAAGCATACTTCAGACTGCGACGTGTCAGACCTGCATGCCAAGCTTTGCCGTTTGAAGCAAGCGACCAATACTCCACTGAGGAGTTAAACGGATAGGACGTCCGGAGCTCCACGTGGGCTCTAGCAACCGTGGCATTCCTGAGGCTTCACAGGCAAGATCAGGCAAGGGCCAGGCCCCAGGCACCTCCTATAAAGACGTAGACTACATGATTCAGGTCAGAGCACAACACGCTCGGTGCCCACACTGCCGAGATCAGCTGCTGCTGCCCCGCGTCCTCGAAGAAGAGGCTTCCTGGTTGCCATCAGCGAAGCTCACGTCAAACAAGCCAGCGATCCAAACCGCTTCGTGGCTTCCCTTCGCCCATCCTTATTCACCGCGTGCTGACGTCTGTTCGGGAGCCGGGGGCTGTTGGCAACCAGAGTCTTGGCCCAGTCAACTCTGACTTGTTTGATATGCCCCCATGGTCCTGCGAACTTGGGGTAGCCCTGGTGGAAGTTGGATGTGCAGCACTCATAGTTGGGCGCCAGGCCATACATGGCAGACTGGTCACCTGACTGGCAGCGTGACATGCGTGCTACAGACATGCTCGTCTTTCGGACAGGGTGCCGTCATGTCCCCAAATGTGGTCGGGTTCGTTGGAGACTGCCTCGTAGGAGTTCGCAAACCTCGCATGGCTGCTGCAGCTTCGTATACGCACGGTGTAGCCCAGCCCCACAAACAACTCTTCAAACTTTCTCACCCCTCCATGAACCAAGCAGCTGAAGGTACGGATGGGACCAGAGGTCCTCGCTCAAACTGCCAGGCAGAGCGTTGAAGGCCAGGGACTCAAGGGCATCCAAAGCCAGCACAGCCTCCTGGGCAAGACATGCGCCATCTCAGGCGGCAAGTTCTCAAAATCCCATGAAAACAACAAAGCGCTTGAGATGCAGGATAGCCTGATACCTCCGACTTCCAGCCCCTGATGCGCATGTGCTGAAGCATCCCTGGCCCTGCACTTCCCCCTACGAAAAAGAAATCTATCTGCAAGTAATGCCCATAATCTCATTTCACAACCTTCCAGCCTCGTCCCCTGGGGCCAGCTGGGAGGCCAGCGCAAGAGACCACATGGACTCAACCTCTAGAAGCTCAGGTAGCGAAGAAGCTGAGTTTTGAAACAGAGCCGTTTGACGTGCAACAAGATAACCAATGTTACAATAATGAAGCTCAATATTGGCCGTGCAACCACCACACAAAGCTCCGTTCCGCGTGAAGGCATGCGGCCTGACCACACTGAGGTCGTTTTGAGGTGCAATAATCTCAAAATTTAGGCCGACCTGCGAGATGCTCATCCGCGCTGAAGGCCCCGTTGGGCTGCCTACAGAGTGTCAAGATGTAGAGACCTGGCCTGCCGGGCCGTGCCGTCAGTGGCCCGCACCCATGGTAGCGCTGCAGCTGCTCCCAGGCCAACCAAGTCTCTGCCCAACCTGCGCTGCGAAGGGCGCACAAGCGCCGACAGCTGCCTGCCGCTGCCTGCCGGCCTGCCGGTGCGTTCCCAGATTGTCTGGACCAAACGACGCCACTCTTGACGGCCTGCGAGCAGGCATTGCGCAAGCTCTTGCACATACTCCGTCTCACGAACTCGTCACGGCCTGAGCATTGTTGACTCCGTGCGTTTGCATGGAGGTGTTCACCGCTGCCTGCGACGAGTCGCCGAATGAGCCCAGTTGTGGGCAAAGTCCCTGCAATACCAAAGTTGCCAACTTGCAAACCTCGCTACTCAGCCTCCTTCACGAAGCTGCTCGCATTGTACCTGAGCATGTCATAATGTACGAAGGCACCACAAGCCCCCTCAAAGAAAAGCGCTGCAAGGCACAATTCGGAGTCCTGCTGGTACCACCTTTCTGCCCGACTAAAGCTGTTCTGGCCCTGCTAATCTGGCCGTGTCATACTAGCTCATAGCCTGTCTCAATCCAAGGCACCACAAGCCATTCCAGTCAAAGCCCTGGCTGTGCAAGCGCGCAGCGAAGGCTGCAAGGTCCCGCAGAACGGAAGGTTCAGCAGACCTGGTCTCTCTTCACACGGCTGTCTGATCTATAACACGTGGCTACTCAGTTACAGTTAGTTGAGGCATTGATGATTGATGCCGTACGCAGGATCTCTGCAGAGACGTGCCCTGCTGGGAGCACGGAAGCAAGCAGCACATTGAAGTCAAGCGATGGTGCAGCCATGTAGCTGCTTCATCATGCACTGGGCTTTAGGCTTTGGGCTTGATGCTAAGGCAGGAGGCTCCTGCAGCACTTCGAGGAAGTAGTGAATCGTCCAAATCCTTTGATCGTCTGCTTTGACCAACGTCGTAAGACTGGGGGTGAAAGATGGCTCGGTTGGAAACGAAATTGAAGACTTCACTACCACATGACCAGCGGGTTTTGGTTTACCGTGTGCCGGAGATGCCCCTGCAAGAAGGTTGAGAACTTGTTCACTACGGCTGGGAGTATGAACTGAAATTCAGATGTCCCGCTCCTGGGTTGGGATCCTGACTGCCATTGACTGCTATTGCCAATACGATGTATTGAATCTTCTCGGCACGTTGTGTCGCCGCAGTGCAGCCGCGATTTTCGCCGCCCAGGCACAGATCGTGTGTTCGGAAGGAAGACCATACTGTCAGAGGGACTCCTCCTCCAAAGAAGTCAGACAGATTTCAAAGCGATTGGGCTCGACTGAGGCTGGCCCCTCAACGAAGGGAAGCTCTAGGCGGAATGCATCCAGGCCTTCAAGCCGCTGGTGCATTGCCGCAAAGAAGCGCACTGCAGCCTTCAGCAGGAGAGATTGCCACATCCGTTGACGAATGTTCACGAAGGGCCAGTTCAAGATGCAAGCTCATGCCTCTGTGCATGTAACAAACTGCAGATAACGCCCCTTGGAAGAAGGCTCCAAAGGCCGCAGTTGCAGCTGATTCTACCACCCTTGACCAGCAATACCAGCACTGGTGGCCCTTTCATGCTTGAGGCCTTTTCGAGAACGGCCCCGGGCCTCTTCGATGCGCTTGCGTCTGGACCCGGCCGGCAACGCCTCGGGGACACGCTCGGCATGGCGACGCTCGCTGCAGCTGAAATTTGGCGAAGATCTTCTTGCCTCTGCGAAGCCTGCACTCTCCCGAAAATCACTGGTCTGTCTGCAACCCCCAAGTCAGAGCCCTCGGCGAGCTGCCTCGTGGTACTGGACCATGGCCATCAGGAACGGATATCCTCAAACAGTTTTCAATGACGCAGCCAGGGCTGTAGTGGCGAAGCCTGTGCGACCCGGCCGGACCTCCATGCTGCCGAGGTGCTGGACCAGAAATCGGTCCTGTCTGTGTCAGGGCCCAGCCAGCCCTCCTGGGTCTGCCTGGCGGGGAACTGCCCTTTGCCGTAAATGCCCCGGGGATGCAGAGTCCCTGCCTGTCGAGAATGCCTTCTATGTACTTCTCCACTGTCTGCAGCAGGGCCTGGCGGTGAAGCGATATGGCTGCTAGGCGTTCACCAACATTCAAGAAAGGAATGACTGGCCAGGTCATTTTAATTTTAAGCAGTCATCACCGTGAGTGTCGTGTCGCGGCGATTAGGCAGCGTCGCATTCTCCTCGTCTTGCAGCTGCAAGGCCAGTGGAACAGCGCCGTTCAGCCAGTATGGTGTGCTCTCGTGGATGCCTCCGACATTGTCCTTTCATCAATCACGCTGCACAGAGCGCAGGATGGCGAGAACAAGAGCAAAAGCATTTTCCGGCAGACTTGCTACATCCAAGCATCGGCGTTGCCACCGAGCCATGAAGTGTTCTGCACCTCACAGAAGCGAAGCATCTTTGAACCGGAGGGCCCCTGATAAAATGCCTTTGCCTTCTTCTGTCCCATTTCCTGATTTGTTTTCGCTTCTGGAATCTACGCCTCTCTTGCTGTGCTAGTCAAGTACGCCCTCCGGGGCACACCGATCTTCCCCCATCATGCACTTGACTATGCAATGCGCATCAGCACGTTGCGTGTCATTGAAATGCTGCTCAAGCCGAAGCCTCCGATTGTCATTCTTGGCACGCTTCCAACTTCGTGAGACCACGCAGCAGCGATAGCTGATGATCACCTACCGGGACCTACTAGATATCAAGTGAAGGGCATTCCGCACGGCTGCGACAGCAATGCCAGGCTAGCAACTACAGCCTGTGATCCAGCGAAAAGTACTCATCGCGGCGCAGTGCCTACGAAAGACATAGACTCGGGATTGGGGTAACCTGCATGTTTCGGCCTCATTTCGCAGGCCGAGGAGGGCCAGAAGAAGTGTTCAAGACACCGCCCTGCACTAACGGAAAACGAAGTCCCGAAACTGTACGGGTGTGCAACAAGTTCGCTGGGCCATGCGTCCTGAAATGCATTCACTTCATTGGAATCCGGGCACGTTGTCCCAGAAGAGCGGCAGGTGCGAGGTCAAGGCAGCCGCCTTCAAGCAAGACAATGAACTGATGTTCCCCGCACTTAGTACTGCTTCATGTCCCGAATCACTTGGACTACCAAAGGCCAATTTCTGCGGGGAGTGGTCGATTCGATTCTGCGCATGGAGCAGTCACGCTCCTTTGACTCAGTCCGAAGGGTGAGGTCAAACGGTATTGAGCACCTGCAGTTGCATCTGCGTCTGCAGCCAACCCGCCGGCCGAATGGAACCGGTAGCAAGGCGTCGCCACCTCGCAGAAAAACAAGTTCACTGCGATCACCGAGAAAGCAGGCATGGCTGTCCGTGGCGAGATGTTGGTTGCGAATGCTCACAACTCGGAGCATGCGGACAATCCCACGGCCCAAAGACCCTAAAAGCAGGAAGCGACAGAGGCCGGGCCGGTCCTGGGAGGAGACAGGCTGCCGCCTCGAAGCGCAAAGTGCGCAAGCCATATGCGGAGGAGGCCCATGGCTTGCGACATGTTTTTTCTATCCAAACCGCCCGTTCGTCCTAGTTCAGGGTTGGCGAAATCCACTGCCACAAAGTATAACAGGGTGCTGCTGGTGTGTGTGTGTGTGTGTGTGTGTGCAATCCAAGAGCATACCTATAAGAAGCGACTCATCTCAACCGAAGACTCTTAGCTTGCTCCATACAGGCTGATTTACTCAGTCCTCGTCTCGATCATGCCCCGGGCCACAGGCTGATTCTAAGTGTAGCATTTGCGTGCTTCCTTCCGCTAGCCCAGCGGCCCGGTCAAAGTTTCTCGAATGCCGGTCGCAAGGCTCGCGAGAGCCGGTGAACGCAGCCTGCTCTGCACCCCTGCTCTGCACCTGTTTTCCTGGCCATCAGTAATGGTTCTCCCGCACCAAGTCAGCATACTGAGCCTTGGATGGCGCAACTCTTCAACTTCCAACTAACGCACGCCACAGGAAAGACAGCCAACCACAATGCTAATATGATGAGTCCTATGCATGTCAGCAAAATCCTCACCGTCTGGAATGTCTTAATCAACCCCTAACGAGACCCCAATCAGTGTCAGAGCAAGACCCAGCGCCTGCGGCTTAATGAAAGAACCAACCCTCACTCCCAACCCTTCAGAGAGCGCCACCTCCCGCGGTCGCTCCTCTTGTGGCTTCTTTGGCCTCAGCCAAGCGAGAGACAGCGAGAGACAGAGAGAGACAGAGAGAGACAGACAGGGTGCCTCATAGCTGCTGCAAGGCTGTAAGGTTTGGGTTCGGTTCAAGACCCGGACACGAGGATCGACCGGCCGCTGCTTGGAAGCTCCATCTGCAGCTTCCTGTACACCTGAGAATGCCAAGCAGACCTTTCTTTCCCGATGCTTCCCATGGTTTCCCCTGCTCCTCACCAGAGTGTGGCAACTATTCTCTGCGTTGCAGCGGGCCTCTGTCAGCGCGGCCCCAAGCATTGCCTCATCGTCCGTGGCCCAAGGCGTCGTGGAGACAAGCTCCAGTGCCTGTGAGACAACGTGATGCAAAGTGATAAACTGTCAAGGATAGTCCGGTGCAGCTTGTGAGGTCTTTGCAAGGAGTCTGGGCCGTACAGGAAGGGTGGAGGCAGCCGTGGGGGTCGCCTGCGTAGAGGGCAGGCTGGGGACTTGATGATTGGACACTTCGGAACTTGCAAGAGTGGGCAACCACTTCGTCAAAGACCACCTCCCTAGCATGCCCCAGCCTCAGACACAGCCTCTGCTTTGACAATGGCACTCTGAACCTCGACGGCACAAGTATTGTGCAAACTGCCGTCTACGGAGCAGTCGACAGTAGCGGCAAGGAGCAGAAGGCTACATCCCAAGGACAAAAGAATCAAACCAAGTTGCAACACACGCTAGCAGAGAATGCTGCGACCCCTGCATCCTTGTCCTCTGGCTTCGGTGGGGCATAGCCGGCCTAACAAAGATTATCAATCTGGACAAATCAAAGAGACTGAAGTTCCCCTGCATGGTTCAGAAAGCTTCGGAGCAGCCAGTCTGGGAATTACACGCAGGAATCTTGCTGGTCAGGTCAGTTCCCTCGACCAGCCTGCAACACATCCGCAGACAGGTCCAGGTCTCCTTCCTCCTCTAGCAGCCTGCAGGGCTCGACTGATTCTCAAGAATGACCCTGACTGGCATCGGTGAAAGCAGAAGCCCGACATCTGCCACGACACAAAGCCGGAACCCGCCTGATGTACAGAGCTTGGGCGGTAGCCTGTCGCACCTGTGCATTCTCGGCACTCAAGTTTTCCTCTCTGTGGGACTGCCGTGGGACTTTAAGGACTGCAGGATTTGCAGGCTTCTCGAATCAGGATCAGGCTTGGACAGCGAGCAACAGAGAACAAGTGCTTGCAGCTCGACACCAACGACCGTCATGACAAGGAGTAGCGACTTGAGGTTGCTGCTTCCTTGGGTTCTTCGCTTCCTGCCCAAACGGTACCAAGGATGCAATGATGAAGACCCAGTGTTCTCTTGCGGCCATTTGGCGGGCAAAGACAGGCGATCGAACAACAACGGTGCATCGGGGAAGCTCAGATATTTAGCCATGCGAATGCCCCCACTCCTCGACGGCACCCTGCTGCCCCAAGGACATTTGCGAAGAATCGAGTGACTTCCGTGTCACAAAAAGCGATGATGTCCATCTGTGAGATTGAGTAGACATGCCTCTTCGGCATTGTCATCCACCGGGGCCCGCACGGTGGGGAAGCTGAAGCCCAGGAACCTTGTGGAGTCACAGGGCTTTGGGAGCTTGCCTCGAAATCTGGGACTTTGCCAAGTCACTGCAGCAGCAAGGCCAGCGCCTCACGTCGCAGACTTCCGGGCCTGGCTCGGCTTTGCGTCGCACTGCGTTTGGGCAAAGCCCGGACAGGCCCCCCTCGAGGAGCGGAGCGTCCCTTCGCAAGCATGACTGCGAGGCCACTTCATCAAGCCGATGAAGACAGCCTGCAAGGCTTTCCCTAAACACTTCGTGCGTTTGACAGCGCGAAACGGACGGCGTAGTTATACAGATAGGATGGATTACGCCGGGGGCCGTGCTACAGAGGCTCGCAGGCGGCCGATGTCGCGTGAATTCCGAACCTAAGATATCCGAAGAGCATTGACCACGCAGGAACATATCTTCCGGATGCAAGCTGATCCGACTTCACACCACACACCCTGCAAATTGAGACAATTTTCCCAACAAGCTCTGAGGTTATCGAACCCTCTTTTGTAATGTGCAGCCAAAAAGGCAATGTCCAGGCCCGTATAATCAGTCTACACAGTCTATAGAGACATACACACACTCGCGCCATCCCTCTCGCACGCGAGCGTGATTAGCCATTGCGAAATCCGCAGGCAAGAGCATGTCTGAAACTGTGTCTCGCATCGGATCGGACCAAGCAAAACGGCAGCTGAAATCGAGGCAGTTCCGTCTTGAAGATACGACTTGTGGCTTTCGTGGCGCGGGGGGAGCGGGGGAGAACAGATGCTGTGGCTGCCACTGCCCTAGCAGTCCGGTCGAAGATGTCACGAGCGAAGTCGGGAGGAATGCAATCCTGGCAACTGAAATCGTCTAAGAGAAGCGTTTGGGGAGGTTTGCAAGCCGTGTGTGTGATGTCCGTCCTGAGGGTCGACAGTAAAGAACCAAAACACCTAGGACCCATGCCGTATGCTCTGTCCTGCGAGAGCAGGATGCCAGTTGTGTTCAAGAGAGGCGCAAGCCTGGGCAGAAAGAGACAGGGGGAGTTTCTTGAAAAGGCTACGGCTACTTCATTGCTTGCTGATGGCTCGACCCTGACCCTCGCGCTTCTGGCCAGGCTGCAAGCACAAAGCAAGTTGTACTAACACCGTCCGCAAACCGAGTGCAGCAGCCATGGAAGCTGGGTCAGGCACAGCCGTTTCGCCTGAGAGGTCCCAAGATTCAGCCAGCTACTGTTCAGCACCGTGCAGTGTGAATCTGCGCTGAGGACAAGTGCCTATTTTTCAGAACTTTGCCACTGCCAAGCCTCTGCGGCCGCGTCCTTGAAGCCTGCCGTGTCGAAGATGCGAAGCAGCTCCTGGCAGACCTGCAGAGACAACCACTGATCCACAAGATCGTTTGCACTCGCCTTCAGCATCGCCGATGACATCCTGAAATCGTGGTCCTAATCCTGACCCTTATCGCCAGCACCATGTCAATCTACGCTGCCTATGCTGCACAGGTGAGATGTCATGCGCACCGCGTCCTCGCATAGCGCCGCACGAAGCCCGTTAAACATGAGATCATGAGATGTCTCCGCTCTCTCCGTTCTTGGAGCGCCGTAATATCCGTTGGGCAAGCGAATCTCATGAGTTGCCGACCAAGCCGCTTCCCCCGACAAAACAACCAGAGACCCTCTGTTACTGCAACGTTCTATGGGGGTGGAGGCATGTGCTATACCGCCAGCACGGGCAGCCCATGCCTCAGCCCCAAGAGATGATGGAGGAATGGATGATGGTATGCATACGGTGTACGAGTGCCAGTCGGCACCTGCTTCTGCGCAGTGTCTGAAGCCAAATGACGCAAGAGAGCTCGCTTGGCTTCCTGCACAAAGCATGCGCATGGATTTCTTGCATAGTCGATGGTAGGCTACTCGCTTGAATCGCGCGCACCCGGCATCCCCAGCGTCCGGCATGCTTCACCTTTCAACCGGTCCTTGGCTGTGTGCTCCGTGATTCCACCAACCGACACGACCAAGCCGAGGAGGAGCGAGGACCGATACTCCTGATCGTCAAGAACTGCTGTTTGACACAGGTTCAGATCGACCATGGATCCGGCTTCCCAATCTTCGTCTCGCATGCGACGTCTAATTACCATGTTTATCCCCACTTGCCAATTACAGTACCGGTCCTCGGCTGAGAGCAAAGGCGTCAGTGCGTCGAAAACAGCGGTTCGTTCTGCCTGGCAGCGAAACGAAAACAAGGCCCAAGCAGACGACCTCAAAGCCTTGACCTCATCACTTATGCCGCATCCTGGCTCCCGGGCTTTTTGAATGCATTGCGGTACCATCTGTTGATGACCCACCCGTGGGTGACCAGGGGGTATCACGGGCTGTTCATTCGCTGGCCATTTCATCTCGCCTCCGGCTTGCCCGCTCCTGCGATCTCGGACTTCACCTAGGTGCCATTTGCTTGTAAGAAAAACTGCACCGAAACGCATTCTTTGTTCAGAGCCCGGGCAGTCTCCGAAGGCTTCAAGCAGCTTGACAGGAGCTCCACCTGAAAGCGAAAGAAACCACATCATTGCAGCTCGCAGCTCCCATGCGACGGGTCCCCTCGCCAAGCTCGCGAGCTCAGGCATGTTATAGCACGCGACACAGAGCCTTCAGAATCTCAACTTGGGCTTTAAAAAGCGTGCCTCTGCGGGCGGCCAAGCGTGTCGAGCTGGACCAGAGCCTTTGTCCTGCCAATCTTTGCTGAACAGTGCCAGCATGAAAGAACATCAAATGCCGAGACCTCTACCGCCGATACCAGACCAAGCGCATCGTAGGCCTCCCCATGAAGCACCTGCTAGTGGAGCACTTGAGAGTTGGAAAAGATTCAGCCGGCTTCCACTGACGGTGCCATAGAACTGCAAGTCTCCTTTTGTGGCTTACGACTTACGACCGAGGATCCAACCCGGCGCTTCGCGTAAGCCAGGCCAAGATGACAGCCGCAGAGCAAAGAGCACAGGAGCCCTGAGAATTTGATCGGCGCTGCATCATAAAACTGATCCAACCCACAACGTAAGCCACTCACCGTAGGCTCGATCCCGCAAGCGGTCGATCTTTTCCACAGCCTCCAAGATTCGCTGCATCGACAGTGCAGACAAAAGCAATCTCACTAATCTAACCATCACGGCTAGTGAGCTGAGTGACAGAGTAGGGCCTGCTGTAAGAGCAGAGACACCAGCTTTGTGGTGCATGCTGCATCAGGCAGTGCAGGATGCGCATCCTGCCTCAGACTACAAGCTCAGCCTGCCCGCTGTTGCCGCAGGAACTTATGCTGGGTCTCCAGCGTTCGCTGTGCCTCGAGGATGGCCACGATCACCTGACCGGCAGGATGCTTCGACAGATTCAAACGCAGAGTACGAGGCGCGTAGCCTCCATGGCCACCTCCCGGACCCAGGAGCCAACGTCCCCCCTGCGGTCCGTGGCGTAGTCGCCCATGGCCGCCTGCACCGATCCGGCCCAGCGCAGCTCCGAGAAAGAACGGAGATCCCTCTGGCCCTTTTGCCTCCAGTGCAGACAGTAGCAGCGACATCTCCTCCGAAGACAGCGCCGCGCCAATGCACAGGCAACCCAAAGAGAGCACAGCATACCTCAAGGCGGCTAAATGAACCAGTGGAACAGAGGGAGCTGCACGGCTGGCAATTTCTTCGGCTCAGCCCCTCAGGGCCCAACTGACGCGTCGTCGGGTCCTCACAAGCTTGAGACTAGGGCCTATAGGCTCTGAATCGCGGGTCATTCAATGCCACACGGGAGATAATTCCTGCGCTTCGGTGCGGATACTGGTCGTACAGTCCTCTTGATCCTTTCCACCAGGAAGCGCTCTTCCCCGCACCTCGGCGTCTCGGCAGCAGAGGTGCCAGCACCAATGAATTCGGAACTCAGTATCTGGGACAGAATGCATGGTGCTCGGATCATATCCCGCGTCTGAACCCTGTGCCCACCTCCTTGCACAGTGCTGCCAGGACGTCGGCTCTCCTCCCGGGGCCGCATGGTGAATGTTCATGCGTTCTGATCAGAAGCCTATTTCTTCTCGGGAATGGGTCGGCTCCTCTCAGCCAACGCTGACATCGGCATTGCACCAAGACACAGCGTGAAGCCGCGCCTCTACACCAAGGCATGACTCGAACATGCTTGAAGGCTGTGAGCGAAGGCTTCCGATCTTTAGGAGAGGCAAGGATGGCGACTGGAGTCTGGGCATTCTCCAGCCTGGCAGCGATGGTCTCGTCCGCTTTTTGCAGACCTCCGAGATACGTCTGCACCTGGTCGGCCAGAGCGCAATGGAAATATATCACAATAACCCTACTGAACCCTCCTGCTACTGCTGCACCTACATTGCTGCTTACTTGCTACTCTTGCTGCTTGTGCTAGAGCTTCTGCTACGACTTCGACTACGACTGCGCATGTCACTACGAAAACGACTGCAACTGCGATTCGGGCTGCTGCTGCTGCTGCTGATACAACAAGTACTACAACGACGACAGCCACTGCCACTGCCACCACCACTACCACTACCACAAACAGCACCGCGACCACGACCGCGACCACTATCAGTGCTACTGCTACTGCTGCTGCAACTAACAGTTTACTTCGGCTTTTGTCTCTACCTGAACATATCTGAACATCTACCTCCACATCTACCTCTACTTTCGCTTCTACATCTACTTCTACTCCTACTACAAACACTGCTACTACTACTACCACCACCAACACCACCGACTACGACTACGACTACGACTACGACTACGACTACGACTACGACTACGACTGCTACTACGACTACTACTACTACTACTACTACTACTACTACTACTACTACTACTACTACTACTACTAGTACTACTACTACTACTACTACTACTACTACTACTACTACTACTACTACTACTACTACTACTACTACTACTACCATTACTACTACCACTACTGCTACTACTCCTGCTAACTACTGCTACTACCTACTACGACCACTACTACGACTGCGAGCACTACTACGACTACCACTACCATCTACTACTGCTACCGCTACCACTACCACTACCACCCTACCACTAACAACAAGAAGCATAGTGATAGTAATGGCAATGATAATCAGAATCATACTACTAGGACTAGCAAGGCCAGTCACAGACATGCACTGCGATCGATTCTGATTTTGCCATCTCGCTGTTGCTGTTGAACAAGGCTGAGTGCATGCCACCGTTCCGAGACCGGAGCGCATTTGGTGCAAAGTTCTGGTTTGAACCTGGCCGGCGGGATATTCCCATCGATATCGGATGCTGCCACGACCCGGCTGAAGGCCCCTGCCTCGCCGCTGCCAGGACGCCCAAAGCTTCTGCGGCCACGACCCGAATAGCCTGTCGGTAAAGGAGAGAAGGGTCTGTCGTGTGTGCAACCGTCACAAACAGGCACCTTCAGGCCATCCCAACTCAATGCCTTCGAAAGCTATTTGGGGGCATTTGCCAGCCTCGGTCGTGTGGCGTGCGCACCTGGACAGTCAGTGAATCGACACGACCACAGGCAACAAGTCCGGCAGAGCAGTTGGGCATGCCCGAGAAGGGAGCGTGTCGGAAGAAATTCACGACCATGCTCTTCCAGTTTCTGCGCTTCTATCGCTTCTGCTGATGCCCTTTCCCGTCACTTGGAAGTTCAGCCCGTGACTCGTCCACGGTTTGAAGATATCGTACCTCAGGCCGGCTCGTCATGGGTCTGCAACTGGCACACTAGGTATCACTAGGTCACTTGGGGCCCTGCCGCTGTGGCATCTTTGAAAGGCCAAGGTGTTGCCGCAATCTTCTGCAGCAATCGACAAGCGGCCTCCCGCTTGACTTCCATAACCGCACAAAGACAAAGAGACGCGCTCCGGGGGACCAAGGGCTCCCGCGCCCAGCCTGGCGGACGACCTCACCTCCGCGGCCCCGGTAGGCACGCGCCTTCTCCAGGGCGGGAACCTCACGAGATGCCACATGCATGAGGAGCGCTCTGCATCTAGGGCTCTTCTCAAGCGACGGGGATCAAGCCTTGAGAGAAAGTAAGTCCGAGACTAAGTTGCGTATGGCTGTCTGGTTCTCGGCCGTGATTTGATCCTCCACCACAGGCAGATATATGTAGAACCCTACATCTGAAGCTCTTTTCTCACTTGCTTAGCCATGGTGGCATGATCCCACCTCCGATCCCGGAACAAAAAAGCAATCACAGGTGCTTCGGCAGTGTCCACCTAACGAAAGACAGCCGAGCCTGCAGGACCTCGACCAGCGAAGCCACGGCTTCAACGGCGCCGTGCCGCGCCTCCCGGGCATTGAGACTGCAAGCTTCAATTGTGTTGGGCCTTGGCAGACGCGTACAGCAGTATATACATTCTTACATCAACCCGACTTAGGGGATGTCGCGCAAAACGAAGCAGAAATCCGGTCTGCCTGAACTGTGCCGGCGGTTGGACCTGTCTGGCATCGCAAGCATTGAACTTCCGGGGCTTAGGGGGCCTATGGGCAGGTTCTGGGGAACCTGAACACACTGAAGACTTTCATTTTTGTAATTGTACCTTTGAGTCCGTGGCATCCTCAACCTCGAAACTCCAAGCAACAAATACGTGACAAGTAAACAACCAAGCTCCACGGCTCTGCACAGATCTTCAAATCCAAAGCAGCTCATGCCCCCACGGAAGAATCAATCGCGACAGACAGATTGGCTTGCTCTGGACTCGCTGGTCCATAGGGTACGGCATGCAAGGGAAGATGCTTGAGCTTTACTATACTCACAAAAGTAGCTGTGAGTTGACACGGAAGCTAAACCTCTGAAAGCCCGTAGACCATATGATTCTCGGCACCGAACCCGCACCAGGTGCAGCCGCTGCACCTGGTCAACGAAGCTTCGCTGCGGCTGAGGGCTGCGCTAGGCCGCCGAAAGGCTGAAAGAACTCTTATTCAACTGTTGACCAGGGTGGCCGGCACATCGGTTTTCCTCTCCGGAACCGAACGGTGCAGAAAGCACACGTGGCCATGTCGGGAAGTCCCAGGCAGAGAAACAAGAGGGATGTGAAGCTGGGGCTATCCGCGTTGATTTTGGTCTTATGGCACATTGCGACCCGGGACATCGCCTCGGCCTGGGTCATTTGCTATCGAGCCGCAGCCGCCGGCACGATGTGACACAACTTACGATTCCTCACTCACGTGAAACAAGCGACCTTAGGTGGGCATGTGACAGCTTGTAAACCCGCGCTGGTTCATGCAGCACTGCAAACGTCAAGTCTTCCTGGCCCGAGGCCAAAAGCACTCTTAGTCCAGATCTGCTGCTCAGAACCTCTAGTTCATGTTGGGTAGCAAAAAATAACTGCACATGGAAGTCCACCAATGGAGCCCCTTTTGTGGCCCGGCTGCTCAGAGCACGCACGATGTCCAGCGCGGACACAACGCCAAGGACGCGAGAGCTTTGCGCCTGCACCTTAGACTGCAAGCACAAATTTCCAGGAGCGCAGCTAGCAGCTAGCACGACCAGAAGCAGAACGCTGCGAACACACAGGCTGAAAGAAGTCGCTTAGTGACAGAATCGACGATCTGGAAGCCCTCTAGAAGCTTCAAAGCCGTCCTATGGTTGCCAGCCCCTTGTCTCTTAGCCGGGCCACCACAAGTAGGTGGTGCTGTCCCGAGAAGGCCATCGTCGAGGCTGCAGATGCCAAGGACGTGGATTCTTCAACCTCGAAGACTCGTGAAAGCGTGGAGACTCCAGGCCATCATGTATTTTCCTCTACACCAGGCTGCTAAAAACTCTGGAGCGGTCCCTCAGCGGTTTCCAACATTTGGACGCTCATTTGCGAACATCCGGATCCGGGGCATGCAACTACGCTCGATACGTGTGGACAAGCATGACGAAAGATACAGACTGTGAGCTTCGAACACTTGCAGGATGCATCTGGCAGCTACCCGCCGAGATGGAAAAACTTGAACCACTGACGATCCAGCAACTCCATGCAACTCCGAAACTTCCACTGTGGCTCTAACGGATAGTTTGCGAAGAACACCGAGAAGCAAAGCGTTCCGAGGTTGCCGGCATGCCATTGACCCCACGAACCCAGTCTCGAAGCATCCTTGCGAGCTTTGCAAGTGAGTCATGCGCAAGCCGACTGCTTCGTTAGATCTGCTAAACATGAAAATTTAAGCATGGGTCTTAGCCCATGGGCTACAAGCTTCGCTACCGCGATTGCTGCCACACTCCCTGTCCCTGCCACGATCGAGCGTGTACCTATGCAGCGGAGTCCGACTCTCTCCAGAGATCTTCTCCGAGAAAGCCAGCAATGCATCCACAGGTGTAACTACCTGGAAGGACCATGGCTTAGCATGCTGCCCAGTGGTGCGAGACTACCTCTTGCGCACCGCTAATAGGTAGATCGAGGAGCACCCTTTGTGGAGTCTTCGTCTGGCTGCTCTTCCTGGCCAGCCTCGGATTGCCGGCACTCTTAGCGAAAAACTCTGACTCCTGCTAAAGCTGAAGACGATGGGGCTGCCCGGAGTTGCCAACGGCTCACAATGGAAGCCTCCCGCTCACCCCATCGAGGAAGCCGAGAGCCAGCCTCATCGTCCGCATCCTTCTCGTTCACCAGGACACAGTTCTGCTGCGATCCAGACAGGAGGCGAAACGCCTGCACGTTAGCGCAGATTCACGATGCAATATGGCCAAGCTGTGCTGAGCTGATGGGTAGAGAACCAGCTAACTCATGTTCCAGATTGTCAACCGGCTGAAAAGAACTCTCACAGACAGCAGTGCGTTGCTGAGTGAAGCAAGCCTGCCTCCGACAAATTCTGGCTAGAAGTGCATGTAGGTACAGATGTCCGCGGCTTCATGATGTGCCTCATCTGCTCTGAACCCTGTCTTGTGCTGGCTTACGAGGAGCACGTGTCGGAACAGGAACACAAACCTTCGCCATGGTGCTTGACGGAAAGGGCCAGAGCTTTCTCTGCTGCCACCGATGATTTCGAAGCCTCTCGCACAGGCTGGGCTAGGCTCTGTGCCGACAACTCCCAACATCTCACGAGGGACCTGAGACATAGCAGCTTGCTACAAAGGCTGCGGCGAATTCCCCAATGTTCGGCCCGCCTCGAGCATGCCGTTGGCAATGTCAAGAGCGGAAAGGAGGCGGGCTTTCAAAGGCCGTCCAGAGGCATCCAACTGGCCTCTGTATTAGGTCCACGGGAGGACGCCTTTACACGCTTACGCATTCAGAGGCCGTTGCAACAAGATCGCACTTAACTGTTCATGCCCAGCGGCCACTTGGGACCTGGACCAGCAAATGGTGGCAGGAAAACTTGCTGCCGGTCTGCTCCGACATCAGCTTGGCGGCCTCGCTGAGTTCCCGTTTCTAGCTCTTTGCCTGTGCCCGCGCCAGTCTTGCCCGCCTCCACGAGAGGAGTCTCTGCTTGCAGCGTCATGGGAGGTACCAAGAACCCGGGAAGCCGGGCTGGCCCGTCTTTTAGCCTGCACGGGGGGCCGCTCCAACCCTGCCCTCACAAGAGCGACATTCATGTCATTCTTGAGGCGCGCACCATCTTTCGAGAGGTTGCTCCCACTCAACACCTTCGACAATCCTTGCAAGCGCAGTTGGCATCTCTCAGATGTACAAGGAATCTAGAGATCGTACACGATGCAGGACTGCAAGACTTGCGTGTTGACGGCTATAAACCACAACTCACACTGGGAAAGCTCCTATTCTTGCCGCGGCTCGCTTGGAGGATGTCGTTTTCTGTGAGCACTCCATGGACCTCACCGCTCCTGGGCTAGTGAAAAAAACGGAACCGGACAATGCCGAATTCATCGCACCTTCTAGAGGATCAGGGATCCCTCAACAGAAAATCTTTTGCCGAGACTACTGTGCTTTACATCACTACTTGTAGGTGGTTCCGGGCATGACCAGGGCTGACATGACCGCCCCCGACGACGGTGCTCCTCGAGAATCCTGCAGGGCAGGAAGATATCCCGTGTGGTGACACCCTCACCGATGGACAGACTGGCTGGCATGGGCAAGAAGAAAGTAAACTTGTTTAAGGACAGAGGCGAGGCCCGGAAGTGCTTAAACGGTACGTCCCCTCCAAACTTTATGTCTGGCTGCGAGCTGGTGAGCACCACCACTGCAGTGCGCCCGGATTGGCAGAGCTTCTTGCAGGCGTCGGCGAGCGTGTCGCTCTGCAAGCAAGAAGTCGTCTCCCGCAGCTCCACCACGTCCGAGACCAGATAGCCCTTTTCAGGGCTCTTAAGGAAAGCCCGAGGCTTCCAAGGCCCAAGGCAGCTTCAGACTTTCTGCTCAACATGCGGCAGTCAAGAAATTTGAAAACTTGAACACGACAACAATGTTTGCAACCGGAGCCTGCTGTCGCCGTTCGGGTGTCGGACTCCTGATGCTGGGGTCCGGGTGGTTGCAGATCGCAGATCGAGCTTACAGGTGCAGGGATTGGGACGCTTTGGAATTGTTGCAGGGAGCCAGCCCGGAACCTTGCAGCTCAAACTGCACGCACCCATTGTACCCCGAGCGCGAGTCCGAGCTTTTGCGGAGTGCTCCGGCTTTCGGCTTCCACAATGTCAGTGATAGTAAGACCCTGAGAGCATGACACTCGTGACTGCTGCCTCGACGGCGGGGCAGTGCGTGGCCGCTTTGGTGAGGGGCAGCCGTGATGGAGATTCCTGGGCTGACCCTCTTCAAACTTCTTCAGTCAGGTACAACAGCGAGCGAAGGAATCTGTAGAAAAACTGTGATGCGTGCTGCAAGAGACCGGCACACAACCGCACGTGCCGAGCCACTGTCGCCGAATTGCCGTCGACTCCTCCTGCGTCACACGAAACTGGCTAGACCACAGGGCCGTCTCACACCAGACTGTCTAGTCGCCAAACATCGTGAAACCGCACGAGTAACCTGTAGCAGTGGACAGCTCGGTCCTGTGGCTCCGCGTCATTGGGCGGCCACGTCATGTTTACAAATCGGGGCAGGCGCCACCGCAAGATACCGCAAGCAGAGCACCCTAAGCTGGTACTTGGAAGGCCGTCTCTGCTGCATCTGATGAGTACCATCTAATGAAGTGGAAAGGTGGATCATGGGTCAGGGATCCAATTCACAGACTGGGTTGGACAACTCTTGCCGACCTGAGCGACTTCTAGATGTATTGTGGTGCAGGGGAGCCGTGTCCATGAGGTGTGTGTGGCAGTGGGTGGCTTTCGGGATTGGAGCCAAGAAAGCTGCATTACCATTCACAGCGGCGACACAAGACTGTGTTATGCTGCACTTAACCCTGCTCACGTTGACGCTTGACTGCAACTGCGAGGACGAGGCTCGGAAGGTGTCCTTTGCACTCTGAGTCTCGGACTCTGCTCTGCTGTGGAGCGCTCCACAAGGCTGGGGATCACAACCTGGACTCCGAGGCCCTGAGGCCATGAGCAAAAGCTTGCGGCAAAGCTGCGGAAAAGCCGCCGTGTTCAGGAAGCCCAGGATTTCAGGCCTCAGCTCTCACATCTCTCCGCTCCCTCTCTCATTTTGCAGTTTGCGGTTGCCCAGAGACGCACCCGGGGCCCAGGCTCACTGCAGGCCAAGCGCGCCAGGCCCTGGGCCCCCAGCATCCGGATCTGCAGGTCCTCACTGCGACTGCTCAGCGTGTCCAAAAAGCCAAGGAAGCTTGGTCCAGCTGCTGTACAGTGCCCCGGTATGTCATGACTTCCTGGCGATCACGTATGAAAGGACAGGCCATAGACGTGGTCAGCAGAACGGGTGGCCATCTCCCGCAGTCGCGAATGCCTTGAATCGTGCTTTCATTAGCAGCGCGAGCCAGCCGCTCTCGGCTTTCTCTGAAGCGTTAAGGGCACAGCGGGCTAAGCCACAACAACATTGGGCAAAATCATTGGCTGCCTCTGAACCGACAGGACTGCGGATGAGATGGCCGCCAAGCTGCCCGGCAAACAATGCCTCTGATGCGAAAAGATGAAGTGACGGGGCAGAGGCCAGAGCATGTGATCGTGACTCAGCGGCTGCAGGGCCACCAGCTGAGAAAGACAAAAACGATCACAACCCCAAAACGGGATGGACGGGGGGCAAAGCCTTAAGAGGCCGAAGAGGCCTGCAGCATCCTGCAGCCATATGGGGCGCGTGCTCGCTGGTTCGTTGGGGGCGCCCAGTCCCTCTCTTCGCGCGAGCGCAGGCCTCCCTCTGCTGCCTGCGCTTGCTCTGGTTCCCTCCCACTCCGTCCTGGTGTACCAGCTTTCGGCTCACCAGGTGCTCGATCAGGGCTTTCCTTCCGGGTCACTTCCGCAGCACAAGCTGGGAAGCGTAGGGCACCGCCTATATCCGCCGTTCCCGAGGCCGGCGATCTTTGGCGCGACCTCGAGATACCTGGTAGGCCGATGCAGGAAGTACCACATTCCCCTGCACACACTCACTAAACACCAATGACATATCACTGCACAATAGCAGAAGCCATATCACTGCACAATAGCAGAAGCTGAGAAGATATCACTGCACATCCTGACTCTTGGTCGAATAGTAATATTTATCACAACAACATCCAAGAAGTGAAGGAGTGAATTTAGTACAACTGAAGTCACTCGACTGCACACAGGTGCAAACTGTGCTTTGCTAACTGGGGCTTCAATCCTCAAATGTAATGAAATGCCACCGTCGAGGTGCGCATGCCGCCGGCCAGACAAGGTCCAGTAGTCGGCAATGGTGACCTGTGGAGGCGATTTGACAGCTGACCCAGCCCCCTCTCAAACTCTCAATTGGTCTGAGCTGGGGCCGAGTGGCAACCTCAATGCCGTCTGGAAATGTGCCTTGTCGGCCGACATTTTCCTCGCGTTAGATCGCGCCACTTAGACGTCCGGGTGCCATCCTTCTAAAGCTGCAAGACTAAAGCAGCACGGCCAAGCTCCTGCACGGCAGCAGCTGCAGCGCGCCTTTGGTTGTCAGGAGGAACATGAACCGACTCGCATGCACCAGCGGTGCTCGTCGTTGAACGCAAGGCAGCTGCCGGCAATTGATTTCGCGGTCGTAAACCGCTACCTGTCAAGCAGCACATCTTCCCCAAATCCGATGCAATGTCAGAATGGCTTCTAATCTGCAGCAGACCTCCAGGCAAGGTGCTTTCAGCCAAACCCCTCAACTCCTGAATCCCACCCTTTACCCTCAACGCTGAAAGACAAACCTTAAACTCTAAACAGGACCCGACACATGCTCGCACCTTTCAACCTTTGGCACACCGCAACAACAAGCCTAAGCCCAGAGGGCTTGAACTGCACAGCCAAAGGTGCCTGGATCAGCGCTTTGGCCAGGTCTTCCACGTATGGTTGCAGCACATCGGGCGCGTAGGCACGAGCGAAGGCCCAACACACCTGCCGTGACGCTTTACATGATGCGACTGACCAGCACAGTCGAAACTGAAAGCAAATCCTGCCGTTTGTGACCCTAGCTGAACTTGGCTCGAAACGATGAGAAAACACTGTGACGCAGGCATAACACGCAGCATCTCGCACGTGCTGACCTCAGCTGGCTGCTGGCTTACTTCACATCTGGCACCCTTGCGACCTTGCAACTACGAGGCTCAAAGCTCCTTACCGGACTCCTACGCCTTCACGCAGTTGATCTCAGGCCCCAACCAACCGCATGGTTGCCAGACACCTGCTCAAAGTGGAGCGCCTTGCAGCTGAGCGCGACCCTTTCGCGAAGAGTTTTAGGTTGATCGCCTGGCAAATCAAAGGGATCACCGTGGCCAACCGCTCGGGCAAGAGTAGCCCTCGCCGCGTGAGCTCGGCCTCGGCGACCAGGGCGGTGAGGTTGGACACGGCGTGGACGGTCTGAGTTCCGGGCCAAGGCCAAGCAGCCACCGTGCCAGGCCTGGAGCAAATGCCGGCTTCTCGCTTGCAATTCCAGCTGTTGCTCGAGGCTCGAACCTTGTCTGTCTCACGGAAGGAAAAACAACGGTCCAACAACGACTCCAGCACCTGTGCCGCGTCCCTCACCCTCCGCTTCCGCTGAACTTCTCACAGTATGGCAACACGCAGCCCAGGGCCCGGCCTGGTCCCCGAAGTCTCGCGACAGGCGATTCGTGATCCGGCCTCAAGCGGCCGACTCTTCGAAGGAGCTCGGCAGCAAACAACCCCAAGTAACTGGATGCATATATATATATGCACACGCATGCAGATGTGTAAATATATAAAGATACACACACTTGAGAAAAGAGCTTCCGATGGCGTACTTTAACTTAGCTGACAATTTTTTTGTTGTGCCCTCAAGCTGCCTCCCAAGGCCCATGAGCAGCACCAGTTTGCAGGTTCGCGAGCATCTGTGAGCTTCGTTGGCATGGCGACAGATACAAGCTGCCATGCCCCCTGCATTTACAAAACAACGTACGTAACTGCAAGAACACCGCCATCTGCCCACGTCGCACTGCACTCAACTAGTGTGAGAGTGCGGGAAGCCAGTACAGGGAAGCCGCGAACCGAAACGAAGGGCGCCTAGGTGCTCAACGGGCACAGTCAAACAGCAGATTGGCCAGGCTCTTTCTCCTCGGGTTGTCCTGTCCCTGTCAGGCTTAAAGGCTTTTGTCGCAGGAAGCCCGCGGGGAAGGTTGACTACATTTTACATAGAACAGGGCTCAGCGATCACCGTGTATTAGACGATATTACATGTCCCAAACCTTTCACGCCGCTTCGCTGCAACCCTCGCTCAGGACGTCCTTGCACGTTCACTCCACGGATCTTGGACGCTTCTCAATCCTGACGGCAAGCCTATTTCCACGAGCTTACGGAGCCGCCTCGGGCTATTTGTTCCTTCGGACAATGGGACCGCCACGGGGGCCTGCTGCCGGATGTTGGTTTCGAAAGAAATGTTAAGGAGGTTTACAACCACAGCTTCGAGTTAGGGCTCAGGGAGCCGACTCGGACGGTCTCTTCCTTCGGCCGATGGGCTTGACCACCGCAGGGGCCTCCTGCCACAACTTCGATTTAGGGTCCAGGCTGTATGGTTTAACGAGCCGCCTGGGACGGCTTCTGCATTCGGCCGATTGCAGCAGGCTCCTGCCGGACGTTGGTATCCCAGCTTCGGTTTAAGGTCTGGGCTTTAGGGCTTCGGCACCTTCCTTCGGTCGATGGGCTTCAAGACCACCGCAGAGGTCTGCTGCCGCATGCTGGCTTCCAAAGGAAATGTTGAAGAAGAGGTCATGTTTAAACAACAAGTATAGCAGGGAGAAATGCATGTTGGACCCATGTACTTGTACAACTTGTACACTTACACAGACACCTAGCCACATTGGCAGTCGGCAATCTGCAAGCCTGAATTTGAGAGAGTTGTGTTCCGACAGACGTGCAATACTTCGGATGACGATGCATCTGAATAGTGCTGGCCTCGATCTCGTGGCACCGGCAGGTCAGGTCTCTCTACCGGCCCTAGCGGCCTTGCAAGTAGCCTGCGCACTGCATCAGCACCAGAAAAACTTTCTGCGTTGAGGGTTAAAGTTTAAGATCAAGCGAAGCAAAGTGCAATTCGCGACTATGCCTGCGAGATTGACTCACGGGGACACCTGCTGCTCAAAGGTATTGCTCAGAACATTTTGTGAGTCTGAGTTAACCCGATTGATGTTGCAGCTGCGTGTGTAGAGGAGCAGCACACCATCCTACGCCAGCGCTGCAACTACACAGAATCATCGCTGCAGTTTCCTGCAAGGGACGATGTCTTCCTTAATGTTGACACCAGATCCAAGGTTTTGGCACTGCAAGAACTTCGCACTCCCGCAAAGATCAATTCAATGGCATGCCCCAAAGACCAACCTCCGCGCTTATCGCTCTAAGTTAAGCCGAAAGAATTGCCTCTGTCCGGTATCCTCGAGAGATAATGTATGCAAGGCAATATTTGAGAAACACTTCTGCGGCACTTCTGGGGAGCTTTTTCTACAATCATAAAAGCCTATTTTATGCTTGGCAGCTACAGCTGCGCCGCTGAAGAGCAACTGTCAACACCCGTATGCTCGAACCTGCAACCCTGACCCCTTCCCTGCCCAAAACTTCCAAGCCGAAGGACTGTTTCGGCAAGCTTTCCAGTGTCTAAGCACGGACTCCCTAACCTGTACAACATATCACACGGAGCCCTGGCCCCTGGCCTTCAATTGCATTGGCAGGCTCGGTTTTCCTACGTACACGAGATGCGAACAACTCCTGTCCTGTGATGCCTCGACGTACATTGGAATGCGCGGCAATAAGCGCCTGCTCTGCCATGCTGCAGCCTGGGTCTGGCATTCACCTCGCGACCTGCGTTGGCTGAAAGCCTCTCCAGTGCCGCTGTCGTTGCTGGTATGGAGAATGCATACTGTGCCACACGGGAAAGGAAAACAATGTTGCCTCGAATCTCAAAATCTCGCCACCATTGTATGGGCAGCTCTCAAATGGAACGCTCGGCTGGTCCTCGAAAAAGCGGAGCTCAGTTTCAATGCGTTTCTTCGCAACATCCGTTTCGCGATCGACCTCTTCGACGTCCGGCAACGCATGCGCTGAACAAGCAGCCAATCCTCGTCTGAGTCTGAGTTACGGGGCTGCAAGCTGGCGGCGGCACACTGCAGGCACGCCTCCGGGCAACATGACGGCCGGGTCATTTTTGTCCGTCTTCGGCTCGGAAGTCTTTGGGGTCTTGCGGCGGCGCTTCTTCGGCTGACCCTGCACACTGCATGCTGCAGAAGCTGATGGAGCTGCAGCTCCGCTGTTCTGCTGCTCCAGCAACAAGTGCGCGAAGGCGCGGTTGTCCGGGTTGGACTCCATGCGACATTTGAGATCCTGAAGCCGCGGGTCGGCAGGAGAGCGAAGGCCCAAAATGGCATCGCGGGTTTTCTGCTTGGCTTCGGCATCCGAGTAGTCCACCCTCTTGAAGTGAGGGTCTAAGAAAGTCGCGATCTGAAGCCAGCGCTCTCCTGCAGTGTCGTTGAGGTGTTCAAGCGCGACTTTCTTGAGGTCCTTCGCTGTTGATGTAGTGTCGAACTATCTTCCGATAGGTCTTAAAAGGCCCATGCACGTCGGCTTTCATCTGCAGTCGTTGCTCATCTGCTCTGCGGCCCGGCTTCTTGCGGGCCGCTGCCGCATCTGCCGAACTGAATTGTTGACGAGAGCTGGAGCTAGAAGACGTATCACTGTCACTATCGGAACCGCTTCGTGTCTCAGGGGTGGCATGGAGCGTCTGGCAGCCAACTGGATTGCATGTGCTGCACATCCCAGCACGGGCAAACGGGCTTTCTCGTCTGTCGCCGGTTGCTGGTCATGAGCCAGTACGCGAAGCACTTTCCTAGTCGCGCCTTCGTGGTCGGACATGCCGATCAACGGGTCCTTGTGACTGAGACCGTGCCGAGCAAGAGATTTAAGACGCTGTCACTGTACCTCTCGCCAGTGCGAGGTGCAGCAACTGCTTCCGCCCCGACACAGACTGTCTTCAGTTCCCAGTTGTTGGTAAAGCACGTCAGATACACTGCCAAGTAGTGCCGCCGGTCCTCTTCATTTTAAGCTTCCGGCGGTCACAAGACAGGGTGAACTTGCACCCCATGCTCACACCGCTTCAGAAATGCAGAAACTTCCTGCTCTATGTCAAGGATGGACTTGTCGATCTCCGCTTGAAGATATGTCTTCCCTGAAAGCCCTTTGTTATGAGCATTCAAGAACTGCCTTGCGAAAGGGTTGTCGACAGTAGCGATTAGGCACCCAAGACCATATTGATCGCCCAATCATGCATCATGTATTCGTCAACTGATCTAGTTGTATCTGGGCCGCGGCGAGACGGCGCGAGATGCTCCGGCAAGCGTTTCGGACGTCGATCCCTGATATGGTTACACATTATGGCGGGACCTCCATCGTTGAGGCAAACGTCGTCATAGACCAGGCCACGCAATCGTCGCGCTTCCAGCAGCTGCTTGATGTTCGCTGTTGAAGGCTGGTCTGCGGCACTCGGGTAGCATAGCCGACAACATCTGTAGGGTCCGCACTCCGGTCTTTTTTCGAGAAAGTAATCATGAATCCAGCTCGACCGAGGCGCCATGGCACGGTCTGCTGCAAAAGCTACATCGACACTTAATTCAAAAACTGGACTTGCTCTACACAGGTCAGGACTTCTTGCACACAGGCTTTGCAATATTCGGCCGTCCGTTAAGCACATGGGTCCCACCTCCAAGCGTTTACAACAGCCGCGGCAGGCAAATTGAGAAAATTTTCTGGACAAGAAGCTCTCTCGAGGCTTCGTTGTATTTCTGGTTTATGACATTTGATTTGTGTTCCGTCTTGGTTAGCTGTCAGTAAACATCTAGGGCACACAAGCATAAACGCTAAAACCTCAGGAGCGGCGGGGATGAAAGCAAACAGAGCTTGCCGGCCTCTCCGGCCAAGCATCGGCTTTGTTGCGCCGCCGCATGCGTATCGCCTGAGATGAAATCATGCAGGAACCACACACCGAAATCAATCTTGTGTGCCACTTAAGCCGAGATGCACATCCCAGCGCGCAAGCCGATCGCGGTGCAGGGCACGGCCGGCCAGCAGGCGGTGCCAGGCACCAGCCAGTCCCCGAGCCCCTGCCCTCAGACAAGCCCCTGAACACGAATCGAATCGAACCGCAAAAATAATTCACCGAAACGAACCACAGCAATCCGGTACCATACTCGCAACGAACCCCAACGGTTCGATTCCTTATCTTCTGCACGAACCGCAAACCCCGGTGAGCGAACCGCATCCTTCCTGCCAGTAGGCACTGAATTTCGCACCAAGTCGCGTTGTTCCGGCGTTTACTTCATATCCAGGAAGCCACTGCAGCACACCTCACCCCATTCTTCAAAGCCAGGAATCATAAAAACAAAGGTCTGCCAAATCATTATGCGATGTCCGACACATGCATGCTCCCCGAAGGGAAGGAGCTGCCCTCTGCGCCTGGGAAGGTTTGACGTGAGACAGGAGGCCGAAACGTTTCGGTATCACCTGTTGAAGTGTATCCGAGGCACTGCATGTTAAGGTCTGTGATCACCAAACGACCCTATATTCTCCTTTCAAGGCCAGTCGGGCCGGTCACAGGTCAGGTTAACTCACACGACCCCAACTCACACGACCCATTTTCATGACTCAACATTCACGGCATCACATGATGATGTTTCAGAAATCGACCTTTCAGAATTCGACGGGTCGCCCAGCCATACGTTCAAGGGATCATAGACTGGGATTAGAGTTGCTTCTTTGTCAGAAAAACAACCCGATCTCACTTGAGAAAAGAGCTTCCGATGGCGTGCTTCAACTTAGCTAACATGCTCTTTTTGTTGAGCCCTCAAGCTGCCTCCCGAGGCCCCTGAGCAGCACCAGTTTGCAGATACGTTTGCTGACTAGCATCTGTCAGCTTCGTTGGCATGGCGACAGATACAAACTGCAATGCCCCATGCATTTACAAAACAACATACGTAACCGCAGGTACACCGCCATCTGCTCACGTCTCACTGCACTCAACTGGTGTGAGAGCGCGGGAAGCCAGTAGGCACTGAATTTCGCACCAAGTCGCGCCGAGGCATCACCACATGGTACTCATGGGACAAAACAGCCCTGGACAAAGCAGTGCCAATGCGGTTAGTCAATGGACTGCTTCTGCAAACTTAAGCTCGCCGTCTGCAAAGTCAAATTCTCCTCGCACATCGCCTTCATGGACTCGTCGTAGTGCTTCTTCTCTAACTCTAACTCCCTGCACTTCTGCTCGTACATCTGCTTCCACTGCGTGGCTTCGGACGGTTGCGTCTCTTGCTGACACGTGGCGCTGGTGGATACAGAGCTTTTCTTCGCGGTCTTAGCAGCATCTTTTGGAGCAGGGCTTTTGACTTTGACCTTGGGTTGTGGCCCTTTGGCCACAAACCTGCGTCCCTCCGCTGCTGCTGTTGCAGCTCTCTGGGTGCGACGCTTCTCCGCGTCTTGTGGCATTGCCCCCCCTTACCCCGACAAATGATAGACTTGGAACTCTGAAAATGCGTGCGCGTTGAAGACTCGTGCTTTGATGCCATACTGCTGCCACTGCTGCTGCTACTAAGTAGTGGGGGCTCAGCTGAACTTCTGCAGGCCGCGTCTGCTCGTGAACTCATGTCAAAAGCTGCGTCGGCGTTTGCATTCTAACCCTTCAAAGAGTACAAACAGTTGGTTTCCGAAGCCCTACCCTAAATGCCGAAGTTGCTGAGAAAACCCACGCAAGAACTTCCAAATGGACCCATTTAGCGCCAGTCACATATGGATTAAATGGTTACATGTAAAAAACTGTATGAGTATGAAATGTTATGGAAGATAGATGCGCCGCAACGTACAGATAGGCATGTCTTGTGTGTGTGTGTGTGTGTGCATATAACATAATATAACATGATATAACATGATATATATATATATATATATATATATGTATATGTATAATGACGTGGTGTATGTATATATATATATATATATGTAGTGTGTAAACAGTCTGAGTCTCAAGCCGACACCTTTGGCCGCGGCCCAGCGCACGACCGTCTCGGCATCGCGAAGGGCGGAGAGAAGAAGCTCGACCACCTACGGAGCAACGTCGAGCCTTAGACCGAAGCAGACCCCCAACTCTGTCGTGCCTCCTCGACCTCCTCTGGTGCATCCTCCTCTTCATCATCCTCTTGGCTCACGGAGCCAACGTTGAGGCCTGATCCCAAATCCAGCGCAATTGCTCTGCTGCCTCAGAGTCTTGCAAAACCAACCGCGCCTGCAGAGGCAATTGGCGCACTGCTGCCAGTAGCCTACGCGCGCTGGTGAGAAGATGCTTATGAGGTCGTGCCAGAACAGCCGCGAGTTCTGCACTTCGCTCAAGGCAGAAGCAGGCTGTCCTCTGCGAAGTTGACCAACAGGGAGCGTGCGCCTCGTTCGTATCGCCAAGGCCTGCGGTTGGAAAGCGTGGCACAGGGCCGATGCACTCAAGAGAGCTGCGATCCGGATCTCATGTGTCGAACATCTTCGAACATCAATTGTACACAGTGTACTCTAGCTTCCCTAATCACGAAATTTCATTAAACTTCATGTTAACGTTAACTATTCTGCGGCAGCGAGCCCATGAACACAGTCTTACCGGAATCACTTGCTGGCAGGCGCAGCTTGCTACAAACTAGAGACGCCAGCAATCGAGAGCAATACAAGGACCGGGTGTCCAGCGCCAACCGTGGCGGCAGAGCCACAAGCCCTGCGCGGCAGGCGACCGCCTGGGCACAGGTGTCGCTTCGGTTCCTCTTTCGAGTGAATCAAACCTGCACCGGGCACATGGCCACACGAAGCTTCCGCAGATTGGAGAGCGAGCCAAAGTCCGCATCACCTGGCTGACAAGACATTTCGGCCCGTGAGTTCTTCGGTGGAGGCAAGGCCAAGGGTCGAGGCTGAATCTGAGCTCATCTACACAGCCACAAAGAAGCATCTTCCATGTGAAACATCCAAAGCTGTGGAGGCACCGTTGCCGCATGGCCCCTGAAGGACGAGCCGTAGCACCTTGCAGAAATCTCCAGCAAGAGCTTCGCACATGTGAAGGAGCAGAAAAGTGCTTTCCGGCGCATCCACGAACAGCCACCCCTGCGGCCCCTGCTTGCGGTTCAGATTTCCACCCGCAAACCCTGGCCTCTCGCCAGAGGCCGCTCAGGACGGACCTCGGCGCCACCTTGAGCATCTGGTTCCAAGCCTGCACCGAGGCTCGTCCCGGGCTCTTGCCTTTTGTTTGTGGCTAAATCCGACTACCTTAGCCAGCAAAACACACAGCTGCCTGCAGGGCTCCCGTCCGCACAAAGGCAACGGAAGTGATGGAGCTTCCTGGCCTTGGGTTCGACGCACTCGCTGTACTACGGCATCAAGCAGCTGGCATGCGCAAGGTGAGACACTAGGCACGGGATTCTTCTGTCGGCTCCTGCAAAGCAGAACCTATCGAGCTGGGCGGATGCCACAGAAGAAGACATTGCCATCAAGCCCAGTGATGCAGCCAGGCTCACCCGACCGGAACGTGGACGGCTTTGGGGGTCTAGGAACACACTGCATGGTCAGAGCACTCCCAGCAGATTTTTTCAGAAAGTTAATGTATCTTCTCCTGTGGCCATCCGGGTCAGAGGACATTAACACACTGCCGCGCGAGAGGCGGTGCAGTGGGTATATTAACGACCATTGCACCATCACGGTGCTTGCTCAGCCAACTTGCAGCGCTGCTTGGTGGCCGGGAAAATTGGTGCTAATGCTACGATGGTCTCACCTGTTCAGTTGCACGTCAAGGGAGAAACTGCACTTGCAGCAGCAGACCGCATCGGGGTATGCTATGGCCCTGTGGGCTGTGAAGGGCCAGCCAGCGAAAGCCTGGACGAACAGCATCGAGAGTCACAGCGCTCCTGCGATCACTGCGGCAGAAAAACACACCGGAACAGACGATCAGCATATGCCAGCGTGATGATGCTACAAGTCTTAATCCAAGATGCCAACATCCAAGGCCCTTCAGTACTGTTTTGATGTCAGGACGCTGTAGCGCAGCTTTTCTGTCAAGTTATACAGTTATACCACCTAATGGACCTAACACTACAACTGCGCAACACCAAAGGCATCTCCTGGCCATGGTTCTGCCTGTGGGGGTGTCCTTGACTGTAATCACACGCATGCTCAGGACAATACGAACCAACGACAAAAAAGACTGCCCCTAAACCCTGGCTGGCGACCCGTGGCCAAAACTGTCCGGGCCGAATTTCCGTGCTTTCTTAGACTGCCGAGATTCGAAGACTTCGAAAGTGAGGATGTGCAGTGGGCTATCCGACACCCGCAGTTCTGCCTGATGCCACGGGTGGACACAGGCAACTGAAGTAGCATCAGGTCTTGGAGCATGTGCCAACTACAAGGAGTCAGACATCGTCAGACACTCGGCGAGGAATTCATGTTGAGATTCCATATGCTTCATACTCGCATATGTAGTCTGGAATCCTCTCATTCGCAATCTGCTCTGGCCTGGATACTGAGTGCTGCAAGGCGTGTAGGCATGCGATGGTGATAAGAAGCAGTTAGCCGTTAGCCCGTAGGAAAAGGAGCCCAGCCTCGTGATCGAAGACGGGGTGGTAACCGTCTTGCTTTACAGCGCGGGTGTGCGACACCTGGCGCGAAAAGCGAAGTCGATGCTCTATCCTCGCTTCTTTAACAGCACTAACTAACAGCTACTGACTTGCAGGGCTCAGCCGAGCAGCCTGCTGGCCGGGCTCCAGAGACACTGTGACCATCGGCGAGCTCACCTGGCTCACAAGCCCTGAAACAGGCCGCGAAGCCAGACTCCCCTTCGAGCTGAGCGGCACCGCGGGTCTCACCCAGAGACAGGTCTGGCCTGCCAGGGCGACTGTGGTTCTCGTGGGAGTTTCTACTTTGTGACACGTGTTCTGCGATATACTCAAACTGCACATGTGCAATGCAGACATAGATCATTTACAAACTGCAGCCGTTCGGCAAGCCTTGGCAGACGATGCCCGCAGCAGATGCAAAGACGCAGCCTGCGCTTACATGGCAGCACCAGGAGACCGGGAAATGCTTTCAAGTTTGCCCCCAGACCATCGACGTCGAGCCCCAAGCATCAGGCACCTCCGTGATGTCGGCTTTACGCCGTCTGTGGGTAGAGGCGGCTTCCTGAGCTGCTAGAAGTCGTTCTTCGGATGCGGGCACAGGCCTGACAAAATCTTGCTGAAGGACAGACGGAGCCTTGCAAAACGACTTCTGCGGGACTTACCAAGGCCGAGTGAAGACTCTGCAACAACGACGCTCAAAGCACGGGTGCCCCCAGTAGCTACGAACGTCTCAAACACGCCACAAAATCGAAGATGCTTCAAACAGCAGCATGGACAAGGTGCAACACATAACCGCATCCGCCGTTGTAGTTTCGAAAGAGGCCTGCGCAACACCGAGAACGAGAACAAGATAGGCACTCCATCCTAGCACGGGCTTAGATGGGCGAGGGCAATGCAGCGCTCCTTCGTTTAGCAGGAGGCCGGTGTCCGATGTCTGGTAGTTCATGGCCACCATCTGCACGCCGCAAAGCCACATTGGAACCTGAGGCCCCAGGCCCTGTCCCTCCTTGAAGCACTTCCGACATGCATCGAAAGCCGAGCCACCGGATCCACATTACCTGAGCCGATGCGCGTGCCCTCGGGGTAGACGCGAGAGAGATGCGCAGAGTTCCAGCGCCGCAGGGCATCACGTCCCAGGGTCTTCTCCAGCTTGTGCACCTGGAGTCATGTGTTTCTCGGTTTCTCGACGATATAGGCATAAAGCATCACTCGGTCGGAAAGCATTCCACCTTCGCCACAGTCCCAGAAGCCACCTCAAAGGGGTAGCTCGAGTCCTGCACAACGAACTGTCCCACCGATAAACCGAAGGTCGCTCAAAGCAAAGCTCCCGCTACGTCCCGTTGCATCCTGCTCCACAGAGAAGGCGCTCGGGGAAGCACTTCCATCATTCAACTGGCGCACAGATCAAGCGGGCAAAACCGTCGTAGGAGTGTCTTGCGACGATACAGAGTCCATCCCTCAGAGATACAGCTATGCAGCTGAGACTCCACGGTACTTGTGTCCAACCAAGAGTAGAGGTACGTACTCTATGGATTGGGGGAAGGTCCGGGCAAACGTTCCTGGATGCGTGAGCTCTCACTGCTCCCCTCGAACCCTCAAACCAACAGCGTGGCAAATGGTGCTGCGGATAGCACTCCTGAAAGCTGAAGGGACAGAGAAGAAGGTAATAGGAGAAGAAAGGGCCACCGAGGGATGGTCGGGGTTCTCGCTAAAGCTTGCCGGAGCTGTGTCTCCCTCTTCTGAATCTTCCGCCGAGGGTGGGTCCTCTAGGCGCCGCTTTCCGCTCTGGTTTAAGGAGGTCTTTAGAAAAAACTGTCGCTCCCATGGCTGGCGTGTTCGATGGTATGGTGGTCGCTCATCCCCCAAACCCTGAACACTAAGATGCATCCCGGCCCTCTCGATCTCTCCCCTCTGTGGTGCTCTGATAGCAAGGCAGACTCACAAGCACCGCAGCACAGCCGCGCCTCCCTCTCCACCAGCTTGTGGAGCAATTTCCTCGCTCATGGTTGCACGAATTGCCAATGACCATTTCACACGACTCTGAGGACGGCTTATCGAATCTCTGAAATGCAACGAAATGCCTCACTGGCTTAAGCCAGTACGAGTAGAGGCCGAAAGCCGTGCGCTTCGAGGTGGCCACTTAACGCGGAGTTCCGAAGCCGATCCCAGTGAGCCCAGAAGCCACAGCCGGCCACAGCATAAAGCAGAGTCTCCAGCTTAAAGCCTCTTTTTCTTTTTTTTAACCCCTCTTTTCCGACTGCACCGAAGGTTAGTAGGAACACCATGTTGGCGGAGGGTCTGGGGCGGGAGGCTCACTTCAATGGGGATTCACCACCTACACCACTAAGTGACCCCTTACCGGCGGATCCATCGTAAGCCTCCCGGAATCCCGAGTTGATGCCACACTTGTAACAACAACTACACCTTAGCCATTCAAACAAACCAAACCAAATAAATTACTCAGTAGTGAGGCCCAGGACCCAAACATTTGTGTGGCACTGCCCAAGCATGTTCATCAAGACAGATGGATGAGCATAGCCTCTGAGCCTCAGAGCTGTTTCGGTGGTGCCAGGAGTTTCAACGATGTGTTTTGTCAACCTTCGTGACACCGACAGGGTAATGGAAGCCTTGAGAACAGCAAAATGGGAGGAAGCACGAGTCTCTTGAATCCAGACTTGGCACATGAAGCTGGAGACCTGGGACAATGTGCGGAGACCCCAACGGCTGCAGAAGCACCTTCACTCTTGAAGGCCACGACGTTGGCTAGGAGTCTGATTCGCTTTCGGGTTCCGCTTCGCGAGCTGTGCTAGCTTATATCATGTGTGATGTCCCCCTGCAATACAAGCAATCATCCAATGCACCCCAAGCTTCCGCGTCGGCATGGCTACGCAGCGGTCGTAGACCGGAAGAGGCCGCTGGCATCGCTCACAACAGCCGATCCTTGGCTTCCTTGCCAACCATCCTCATTACAAAAGCCGTAGACCCACCTGACTGATGCCTTTTCCCAGAAATCTCACCTGGTCACAGGCCAAGCCACGAGGACTTCACGAGCACACGTTTTCGGGCCGACCATGGTGAGATGGACTCGGCCTGCTGCCAGGTGCCAGCATGTCGAGATTCGGAGAAACTGCAAATATTGTGGTGCTTCTTTGGTTGCATCTTTCTTGGGGGTTGTCTTGACGGAGGTGGTTTTGCTTTCCTGGTCCGAGAACTAACAGTGAACAAAAGGTCGGGCGCTTACATGTCTGCCCCTCGTGCTGAGCCCAAGTGTGTGGGTGTTGGTGTGGGTGTGAAGGTGCGTGCTTGTGCGTTGTTCCGTGTTCCTGTGTCAATTTGTTGCAGGTCTTTGGAGTTCGTGCTCGTGTTTTACTTTCGTGCTCTCCGATGCTCGGCGCCGTCTGTGATTTAATGCTGATTTGAACGGACGGCAACAACAACACTTCTGACCATGGACTCGACATGAGCATTGAAATTGGAAGGTATATGTGATTTCCTGCTTATAGTTGTTGTAAACCACTGCACACACGCACTGTTGTATATACCCGTCCAAGTGATAACAGCACGGCTTGTACCATTCGGTCACTACCTTTTTCCTGTTAGAGCACTTGTGCCACAATGCAGTACACACAACATGCTACTTCACACGTGCACAAATTACACCCCCCTCGCCGAAGCGTCAGTCTGAGGCGCAAACATGCACGGAAGCTTGGTGCTGTGTGGCCTGCCGTAAAGGCGGCTGGATTGTGGCTCGGGGCTCATAGGCTTTCTACTACCGTAAAGAGGAAGATACGGAAGCAGATTAATTCTTTTAGCGCGCAGTTTAAAGTCGCGACATGCATTATAAAATGGCGACGATCCAGCAAGCCTTGAATGATGGCGTGGATACGAGTCGCAAGACATGTGCAGCATGGGACGAATACATCATCCGCTGGAGCTGCTGACGAATCCCCTCGAGGTCCAAAGACCTGGTGTCGGAGTTGTCACAAAGTGACTGCCAGATGATGCAAGATGAAATTTTTCTGGTCTTAAGGAAATTCGGCCACCTCTAAGAGGGGCTGTATTTCGGAGTACCGGTTAACGTGACGGAACCACGAAATGTGGGTCAGGTACTTAGTACCATCCCCGGGAACCGGAGGAGCGCCCATAGGGGTGGGATCCTCGCTGGTAGCCGCGATCCCATCCCTGCTCCTGGTAGCGCTGCTGCTCTGCTCTGCGGGCATCAGCTTTGGCTTGAGCGATGCGAGAGCGTTCAGCGTTGCGCTGTCGTTCCTCGTATGCACGGCGTGCAATTCCGACCTGTTCCGCGAATTTCTCACGGAGCCACTCAGTCCAGTCCTCAGCAGAGTAGCCGAGTCTTGGATCAACATAGAGTGCCTCTTCTGAGAAAGTAACAATCATCTTGACGATTTTGTGCTGGAGGAAAACATCTACGAATTTGCGCAAACTGTATGCCCCTCCCAGCCACATGATGCAAAATGGATCGTCACTCACTGCGGAGATCAGGCCTGCCCTAAGGGCGGCTGGATTGCAGTCGTGCAGGTAGAGCAAACGAGCGATCTCCTGGTTCCGTGGCCCTTCGGAGCTTCCACCGTAGGTTCCGACAGCTAACTGTCGTTGCTCCTTTGAACGGCCATGGTTCGGCAAGGCAGCATGCGTAAGCACGTCTTCGATGGCCAGGAACTCTCGATCGTACCCATTGCCGATGGAACTCATTGTGTAGTCCACATCGTTATCGAACCGGTGTACGATGCTTGTGTAGCCTCCCTTGGTAGCCATCTTGAGCTGCTGCCGGGCTTTGTCCAGCGCCTCTGCGTCGAGCGATGTCGTTCCCCGCTGTGTTGAAGAATCTCTGGTCATTTCATGAATGACCTCTTCTGGTGTAAGCTGGGAACGTGGCTTGCCCGCAGCGGCGGCGGCTGCCTCTTCAGCGAACCAACGAGCCGAACGCGCTTTCTTGCGTGCGTTCTGCTGAGAAGGTTTCACGATGTGCACGCCACAGCTCAAGCATATCATCTGTCCCACGAGGTGTTGAGTACCGCAGTGGGGACATGCTCTGTGGCGGCCACCCGTAACGGGGGCTGGAGGGAGAGCCAAAGGAGTCGATTCCGGCTGAGGCGGTGCCTGCTCGAACATCGGCTCGATCTTGATCTCTTCCTCCCTTTTCACATCTCCTTCTTCAGGCTCGATTTCGATCTCGACTTCGACGGGATCTTCCGGCTCGAGGAAACGAACACGCTTTCTGGACTCAGTAGGTGCCTCCGGTGGAGAAGCGCCCCCCTGGTCCAATGTTGTGGTTTCCTCCGGAAGGAAGTCGGCTGCTGTGGCGTCGTTGAGCGCAAGAGGTTCTGGCGATGATGCTGGTGGTGCCACCTCAAGCTCAACTTCGACCATAGGCTCGTCTGCTGTTGCAGACTCTGTTGTCTCGACCTCTTCATGGCCACCACTAAGTGGGGCTGAAGGTTCCTCCGGTACATCGGGGAACTGTTCCGGCTCAGCTGCTCCAGGATCGACAATGGGATCCTGGGCAGTTTCCGGGATGATGGTGTCCTCTTCCTCGCTGGACTGACGCGACCACAGAATGATGCCTTTGATCGTGTCCCTGATGTAGAGCACACAAGATCCTGGCACTGGGTCGCGCGTGAGTATGCCTTCGGAAGTTGTTTCAAACAGGTAGGCATAGCGGTTCACCTCCTGAGTGTCGAGAACAACTTCATACGGAAGGTTTGCTCGGCTTCCAGCTTTATTCTCAAGCTCGCTCAGCGTGGCCTTCGCGAAGTAGTTATGAAACTTCCCGCTCCGGTTGAAGCCAGCTGTGAACCCAGTAGAGAGAATGTTGAAAGCTGAATCATGCGTGGTTCGATGATACAAGCGTGGGGGAAACTCCCCAAGAGCAAGGAATGGCCTGCCTTGATAGGCGGCTGTAGGACCAAGCTCCTCACGCGTCTCGTTCGTGAACCAATGCAGAGCAATCGAGGA